CCTTGATGAAAATGAGTTGGCCATATATTCGAGGCTTTATTTCTGTGATCTCAGTTCCATTCCATTGGTCTATATGTCTTCCTTTATGCCAGTACCACATTTTTAAAATTAAAATAGTAAGTTTTAAAATCAGGAAGCGTGAGTCCTCCAACTTTGTTCTTCTTTTTCAAGATCTTTTTGGCTACTCAGGGTCTCTTGAGATTTCATATCAATTTTAGGATGGATTTTTCTATTTCTGCAAAGAATGTCATTGGCATTTTGATAGGGATTGCATTGAATCTGTAGATCATGTTAGGTAGTACTGACATCTTAATATTAAACCTGCTAATTCATGAACAACAGGATGTCTTTCCATTTATTTATGTCTTCTTTAATTTAAGCAACGGTTTGTATTTTTCAGTGTACAAGTCTTGAAAGTTGTATCTATTTTAAATGCCATGCTAGTATTTTGGGGTCAAGTTGAGCCATCTAGCTGCAGGTTTGAGAATTCTATGAGCAGTGCTCTGTTATGAGGGAGGAAATTTTCAGTGCTGCAAAAGCATAAAAGAACACTTACTATGTCATGTTCTCTCCCCAGGTGAAATCTAAGCCCCTTGAAGGCAGGGACAGGGCCTTCTTTGCCTCCCCTGAGAGTGCCAGTCAGTGCACTCACCACTTGGATATCCACCCACCCAGTAGCCACAGTGACTATTTACAAAAGGCAAATTTGATTATATCTCCCTGCTTAAAACCTTTGAAATGCCCTGGTACTGGGATAGCTGTTATTAACCTGTTCCCCAAAGTCCCGTGGTAAGCTCCCTGCCAATTTCTCCTGTCTCACTATTACTATTACGTCCCTTTCCTACTCTCTCCCTACCCTCCAATCCTTCTGGTCTTCATCTTTCTAAAACAGTGTTTTCCAAACATTTCTAATGGCAGCCTACAGTTAGAAATGTATTTCACATTGCAACCTGGTTGACATATATAATAACAAAAGTCTTACAAAGCAGTATTTAGCTTTACTATTTATACAATGCACTCTGATAGTTTCTATTGTATTTTTTTAAAAAAGTTGGTACCCACGAAATTGATATTATGACCAATTAATGGGGCACAGCATGCATTTTGAAAAACACTGCTCTAAGCCTTCCATTTCTTTGCCTCAGGGCCTTTGCGTGTGCTATGCTTTCTGTCTGGAAAGCTTTTCACATAACTTCTTTACCTGGATAGATCTTACTCATCCTTCACGGTATGAAATCAAAGGATCCTTTTCTCTCTGGAGTCAGCTGCCTGCATTTGAATCCTGAAGATCGTGCTGAATGAGTTAATACGCTCAAAGAACGCAGAGCAGTGATTGGCAAATAGTAATGCTTCATCTCGAGATTGTGAAAGGCAGTAATTACACAACTATTTGTGTGTTATTAATATGTCTCCCCACACCTCCTGGATTCTAAACTCATGAAGTCAGAGACTTCGGTTAATTTTTGTTCATCTTTAGAGTGCCGGCGCCTCCCTTTGCCCGGCGTATAACAGGTGCTCAGAAAAGACAAAGTGGACAAAAAAAGAACCCACCAGAAGGAATAAAATCGATGAGGGGGCGGAGCGGGGGCGGGGCCAGCGCGGAGCGTCCCCACGTCGCCCCGCCCCCTGACGGCCGGCGGTCACGTGGGCCTCAGTCGGCGGCCGCGGTGGAAGCCGGGCCAAGATGGCGACAGTGCGGAAGGGGCTGCCGCGGCGACTGGCGGGCTTGGCGTCCCTGCGGGCTGTAAGTGCCCCGGCCGCCGAGGGGGGCTCTGCCGGCGCCGCGACGGTCGCGGTCGGCGCGTGGCCCGCGGCGGCTGCTCTCGGACAGCCTCAGGCCAGAGTCGGAAGGGCCCTCTCTGTCCCTCCCAAATCCCTCGAGGGGCATGGGGAAACTGAGGCCCAGGGACGGGCGCCACTTGCCCTACCCGGGCGTCCCAGCTCCCTGTCCCGATCGCCTCCCGGTGACCCTGGCAGCTTCTCCCGCTAAGTGAGCTTCCGAACTCTCCAGGCTCCTCGGCGCGCATTGCGAGTCCCGTCCCTTCCGCGCGGAACAAGCCGCGGCGCCCCCGCGCCCCCGTCCGTGTGCAGCTCCTGGAGCGTCTCGGGGCGCTGGGCGAGCCGTCCCCGCGCGCCGAGCGGGGCGCGGGGGCCCGAGGTTCGGGCCGCGGTTCCCCTGAACTTTACTTTGGGCCTGTTCGCTCCTGGTGTTGCCGCCCCTCTCACGCTCCGTGGTTGAGGGAAAGCCTGGGAGGCTAGTTGCACGAAAGGTTGAAGCAATTGTGTCGGTTAGAGCTCGAGCTGTGCTCGTGTCCCAGTGGGTCTGCCACTTTCTAGGCTGAGCGGCAGTTGTTGACTCTAAACCTCGGTTTTCTCGTATATAACGCGGATAAACCGTCCCTCGGGGTTTTGGAGATTAAAGACAGTGTAGGTAAAGCGTTTGAGGCTGTTCTAGCTCTCAGTGAGTGGTCGTCGCTCGTGGTTTTGCCTTAGAGAGTTTAGGAGTTGTAACCGCAGTGGGGAGACGTACACCGCCTTGGCCGTGGGCCCCTCTCAGAAAGCCACTTTAGTGTCTCCTGGGCCCCCTCCTCCACCAGTTGTCCTCTGTGTGATAAAGATGGTAATTCCAACTTGAAAAGTTAAGAAAACTAAATGAGATGATATTAAGGTGTTTTGGAAAAAATGCCTAGTGTAATGCGATGGTGGTGATGGGCCCTTCAGGGGGTTACCAGCGTAGACTAGGTATCAGACGCAGACGGTCAGGACCCAACTTCCCCACTCCCCAGCTGGGTGATTCGGGGTAATCTTTCTGAGGCGGTTTATTTCTCTGTGCAGTTGCGGTATGATAGGCCCCGCCATGTAGGGACTGAATGAGGTCCTGATGCTGGAGTTAGCTCTGGCCTTCCGTCAGTATTAGGTGTTGATGTAGATACACTGTAGCCCGGAAGGCTGTGGCTCAGGACTTGTGTGGTTAGATCATCTCTGAGCAGACCTTTACAGAGGGAAGGACGTGGGTGTCTAATCAAGACAGGAAACCTGGGAGGGCCGAAGGGTGGCAAAAAGGCAACGTGGCCTAGGGATTAAGAGCATGCGCTCTACACCCGCATTGCCAGGTGCAGATACTGGCTCAGTGACTAGGTAAACATGTAACCTTGGGAAAGTTACTTCATCTCTTTGGGCTTCAGATCTCCCACTGTAAAATGGGGATAATGGTTCCCACCTAAGAAGGTTGTTGAGAGGATGAAATGGGTTAATAGGTAGAAGGCTCTTATAAGTGCCTGTCAAAAATTAAATGCTTAATAAATGTGAATTGTTATTTTGTTGTTATTATATGAAGAGTTGTTATTGGAGAAGGAAGTGGAATTAAGTTTATTCTGTTTCCAATAAAAGGAACTTGGAAGCAAGTTCCACATTCTTTCAACAACGTTCAGCAGTTATTTATTGAGCCCCCGTGATGTCCCGGGGCCTCGGAAGTATAGCAATGGGTGAAACACGGTTCCTGCCTCAGGAAGCTTACGTCCCAGTGGGATCATTTCAGGGTCATGTACCAGCACAGGCTGAACGTCCCTGTTGGAGGGAGACCTTCCCGCTTAGCCTGTTGACTTCATGGAATTCAAGGGCGCATCACCTTAGTCTCTAGGAAGCTCTGCTGCTAAAACCAAGGGCAGTCAGGTGAGTTGTTCAAGTTCCAGCTGGTCCATAGCAGGGAATGTTTCCTTAAGAGTTTCGGATCCCAGCAGCTTACACAGTGCACCTTTCTCCTCACCCTATTGCAGTATCTTCATCCAGATTGAATCTGGTAAAACGAAGTTAGTTTGAAGATTTGGAGCATTAAGAAAAGATGGGGAACGAGGGAAAATAAGCCTTGTATCACTTGGTGGTGAGAAAGGGAAGATTTGGGGCAGAGTTTATATAGAGGAGACTGAAGGCCATTTTTTTCATGTCTTTAGCAGTTGAAGGTGTCACCTCCCCTCGAACCCAGTCACCTTGTCATCACCCAGCTTGCGATTGTAACAGAACGGAGCCCTCTCCATCCGTCCATCCCCACAGAGTCCAAGACTGACTACTCCTTCTTGCCCCCAGTAATTGCCCTCCTCTGGGGCAGCTCTGCCCTGCGTGCATTTATTTGTTATTTCAGTAACTTTTTAGTGAGTGCCTGCTTTGTGCCAAGCACAGGGCCAAACACGAGGGATGAAGTGAAAGTTGAGACAGAGTCCCTCAGAGAGCTTATGTTGTCCTGGAGGGATTATTTAGCAGTGCTCTGAAGGCAGGAGTTACAGCCCTGAAGTAGAAAATAACAAGGGTGAGGGGATGGGCAGTTTTAGAAAGGGTGGTCAGGGGAGGCCTATCTACGACTGAAAGGTGAGAGGGAGCCCGATGTGGGAAGAGCATTCTGGGCCTAGGGAACAGTCAGCACTGAGGCCCTGCTGTGGGACTGGACCGCCGTGGGGGCAAGGGGCGGGGGGGAGGTGGCGTGTAGAACAGTAGGAAGCAGTAAGTTCATCAACATCAGCAGGAGGGGCCGGCCCAGTGGCTCAGGGGTAAAGTTCACACGTACTGCTTCTCGTTGGCTCAGGGTTTGCCGGTTCGGATCCCAGGTGCAGACAAGGCAGTGCTTGGCAAAAAGCCATGCTGTGGTAGGCGTCCCACGTATAAAGCAGAGGAAGACAGGCATGGATGTTAGCTCAGGGCCAGTCTTCCTCAGCAAAAAAGAGGAGGATTGGCAGTAGTTAGCTCAGGACTAATTTTCCTCAAAAAAAATTAAATTAAAAAAAAAGATCAGCAGGGGGGCTGGCCCCGTGGCCGAGTGGTTAAGTTCGCGCGCTCCGCTGCAGGCGGCCCAGTGTTTCGTTGGTTCGAATCCTGGGCGCGGACATGACACTGCTCATCAAACCACGCTGAGGCAGCGTCCCACATACCACAACTAGAAGGACCCACAACGAAGAATATACAACTATGTACCGGGGGGGCTTTGGGGAGAAAAAGGAAAAAATAAAATCTTTAAAAAAAAAAAAAAAAAAAAGATCAGCAGGAGCCAAATGGTAAGAACCTTATAGGCCATGTGAATGGGGGAGGGGATGAGTCAGCTTTCTGGCTTAAACAACAGGATGCATGGGATGCTTTTTACTGAGATAGAAAAGAGGAAGTCAGGCTGAGCTTTAGCAGTAATGAAACAGTTCTGTTTGGGAAGTCCTAAGTTTGAGAGGTGCAGACAGGTTTGTGTAAGAAACAACCTGAACGGTCAGCTATCAGATAAGCCGTTGGAAATGGGTCTGGACTTAGAGGAGTTGGAAAAGGGCCTGTACCGGGAGCGTGAATCTCTTGCTCATTCCTGTTTCTAAGTGAAATATTCTTTTTGTTCTTAATTCTAAAACAGACCAAATGTGATTAAATGGTAAGAAATTGCTTCTTGTCTCAGTGTTAGTGAAGACGCAACCATTCTTTTAGATTTGTGCCCCTGGAGAATTGTGACAGTCTCTTCCTGTTACTTTTGTTTTCTCTTTTAAACCAAAGGTCAGCACCTCATCTGTGGGTACTTTCCCAAAACGAGTGAAAATTGTGGAAGTTGGTCCCCGAGACGGACTACAAAATGAAAAGGTAAAGATGGATCAATCAAAAAAGGGGTTTCGAGCGTTGAGAGGTCCATGTGGTAGGTGCAGTGGGGATGGGATGGATAGAGCTTTACCAGACGTGATCGCGATGCTGGACTTGGGCCGGGTCGCGGAGGCCAGGCAGACAGCTGGGACAGTTAAGTGATCCAAGATGATGGTGCAACAGGTGTGGTGTCCCCAAGTCCATCTCACAGCCCCATGGGGCAGGCTGGAGGGTAAGTGCTGCCACATTCAAAGATCTGTCTTCGGGGATGTTCCTTACAACCCTGTTGAATAACACAACAGTTGGAAACAACCTCATTGCTCAGTGTGGGGAAAGATAGATCAAATACATTAATGACTTTCCATAAAATAGAATATTATGAAGCTGTTCATTACACAGGCATATATTAAGTGACTCAAGCAGATTATAAAATAGTATATATATTTTTTAATCTTAGAGTTTTGCGTTAGAAACAAAGTATATATATGTGTGGGAGCATCTACCTAGCAAAGGATCTAGAACGTTGCTGTCCAATAGAACTCTCTGTGAAGATGGAAATGTTCTAGACTTGAGCCATCCCGTGAGGTGGCCACTAGACACATGTGGCTGTTGTGCACTTGAGATGTGGCTAGTGTGGCTGGGGAACTGAATTTTTGTTTTTACGTAATTTTAATTAAACTAAATAACCACTTATAGCTAGTGTCTCATGCCTTGGACTGCACAGACCTAGAAAGTTACATGGTGGGCTGTTAATAGTGTTATCTCTCGGAGGTTTTACGGGGGTTTTTCTTTCGGTTTTGGCATGTTTTTTACTGAAATAATGATGTATTAATTAGTTTTTCAAGACGAACAGCTTGTTCCTTTTTTTTTTAAAGCATGGGTAGCTTTGCTTTAATCGTGAGTGCTGGCGGCCAGCCCCGTGGCCAAGTGATTAAGCTCGCGCACTCTGCTGTGGCGGCCCAGGGTTTCACTGGTTTGGATCGTGGGCGCAGACATGGCATCGCTCTTCAGGCCATGCTGAGACGGTGTCCCACATGCGACAACTAGAAGGACCCACAACTAAAAATATACAACTATGTATCAGGGGCTTTAGAGGGGGAAAGGAAAAATAAAATCTTTAAAAAAAGAAATAGTACTTGTTAGAAACAATAAACCGTAAGCTCTATGAGAGCAGAATCCTGTCTCTTCTGCTCACCGCTGTGTCCCTGGCGCCTAGTACAATCCCCGGAACATGGAGGGCTCTCAAAAATTCCTTGTGGAATGGATTAAGGTAGAGTGGTGGGAGAGGAATTGGATGGGGGTTGGGCAAGGGCCTGGCAAGAAGGACTTGGGATTCTTAGGATTTTTGACCTAATCCTGTAAGTACTAGGGAGCCATAGAAGGCTTTTGAGCAGGCAGGTGACATAATGGAGACTGTGTTTTGGAAGGATTCCTGAGTGGGATGAATTGGTAGAGTGAGACCATGCCATAATAGCATGGGGTAATGATGTAGATTTGGAAAGAGGACCCCATGGAGTGTGGTGAGCAGCTAGACATGGCGGGGGTGGGGGTGCAGAAAGAAGCAATAGGCTGAACAGGTGAGGATGAGATCTGTGCCAGTTGGGAGACACAAAAGGGGAGGGTGTGATATTTTGGGGGCCCATCTCATAGGACCCAGAGGGTTAGTTATGTGCCCTTTCAGGCCATGACACGTTGCTCTCAATTTGTTTATAATGAGGTCATATATTAACAAACATTTACTTAAGAAAAAGCCTGTATGGTAGAAAAATATTGTTTTTGTGTAAATATTAACTCCTTTTCAGGTAAATATTAACCCTCCACTGCAAAATGCTGTCTGTAGAACTCGAAGACATGCGGTGTACCCCGCCTGTGGGCGAGGATTACACGTGAATGCGTGTTGGTGTTTGGAAGTTGGGACAGTGAAGTGCCTGCTGGAGCAAAGGCCTGGAAATGACAGGCACTGCTCTCTGAGACCGTTGTATTCCCATCTTCGCTGACCTGCCTTTCTGCTCTTTCCCTCTCCATTACAGAATATCGTCCCCACTGCCATGAAAATCAAGCTGATAGACATGCTTTCTGAAGCAGGACTTCCCGTTATAGAAGCCACCAGCTTTGTGTCCCCTAAGTGGGTTCCCCAGGTGAGCCCTAGCCCTCAGCAAGGGGTGTTTCTCAGATGAGAGGCTGTAACGTTTTGCATTTTCTGGACGTGAGTAGAAGCCCTGAACATAGCTATGCAGGCGTCTGGTTCTGCGAGGTCTCAGGTGATGCGCAGGAGCGCCGTCCAGCAAGGGAACCTCGCCCAGGAGGCAGGAGGCATGGCCTCAGGCTTAGCTCTGCCCTGCCTTGCTTGGTGACTTGGGGAGGCCTTCCCCTCTCCAGGTTGAAAAGGACCTCGCAGGTATCCTCTGGCTCTAGAAGTCTAGAATCTTTAGGCCTGGCTAGAGACGCAGTTTCTGCGTTTGTAAAAGGGAAAGACTAGCAACTCCTCCTTCACAGAGACAGTCAGGTGGGAAGAAAGATCCTGTTCCAGCCGAGCGTTAAATAGCACAGAGAGAGCTGAGCCTGGTGCCTGGCTCGGAGGACCCTCTCAGTCAACGGCTGGTCGTGGTGTTACTGCCGTTACTGTTCATGTAAAGCTGGCGGTATGGGCCATATGGAGAAACTGGGGGTATCACCCACACCGGGGAGCCTTCTAGCCCATCTGCAAACAAACTAAAAGCATTGGGGAGACTCGGCTCTGCAAAAGGACTCATTCTCCGCGGGTTCTGGCGAACAGAGGTTTTACAATAAAAAGGTTTTCTGTGCTGGAGCGCTCTGCATGCCCCTGGCAGTGACTGGGCACTGTCTCCTTTGGCTCTCAGATGGCTGACCACACTGAAGTCTTGAAGGGCATCCAGAAATTTCCTGGCATCAACTACCCAGTCCTGACCCCAAATTTCAAAGGCTTCCAGGCAGCGGTAAGAGACTAGCTTGTGGGTGGGGGCCCCTGAAGTGAGATGGATGGCCTTGGTCCCTGTCCTGGGATGTCTCTGTGAATGACTTGTCTCCAATGGTAATGAGCACCGTCAGACAGACGCGGGAGCAGTCCTGGCCCTGCTACTCCCAGCTCTCTGATCTTGACAAGCTCCTTAACCTCTCTGAGCCTCAGATTCCGCCTATAAAATAGGGCTATGGTGGAACCCAACGTTGTGAGGCTCTCGGAAGATAGAGTGCATGTACATCCCTTGGCAAGAGCCTGGCAGAAGAAAATTGCTTCATAAATATTAGCTCATGTTATTACCTCTTTCCTCTTTAAAGAAAGATAATCAAGGTCTCCACAAGAGTTTCAAAAATAGTTGTTAGTATCTGCCAACTTTCTTATAATTTTAGATGAAAACATCATTGGAGATGTTGATTCTGAATTTAGGCCAAAAGCTTCTTTTTTAAAGATTTTATTTTTTTCCCCTTTTTCTCCCCAAAGTCCCCTGGTACATAGTTGTATATTCTTAGTTGTGGGTCCTTCCAGTCATGGCATGTGGGACGCCGCCTCAGCATGGCTTAATGAGCAGTGCCATGTCCGCGCCTGGGATTCGAACCAATGAAACACTGGGCCGCCTGCAGTGGAGCGTGCAAACCCAACCACTCAGCCACAGGGCCAGCCCCCTAGGCAAAAAGCTTCTTTTAAGAGTGACTTCCAGGGTGGTGATGGCAGCAACAGTCTTGGTCCTTGGGGGAAGGCCAAGATTTCTTTCTTTTTCTTTTTTTTTCTTTTTTGAGGAAGATTAGCCCTGAGCTAACTGCTGCCAATCCTCCTCTTCTTTTTTTTTTTTTGCTAAGGAAGATTGGCCCTGAGCCAACATCCATGCCCATCTTTCTCTGCTTTATATATGGGACGCCTGCCACAGTATGGCTTTTGCCAAGCAGTGCCATGTCTGCACCCGGGATCTGAACTGGTGAACCCCGGGCCGCAGAGAAGTGGGACGTGTGAACTTAACTGCTGCACCACCGGGCCGGCCCCCCAAGATTTCATTATTATTGAAATATAATTCACTGTATTAAGTTCCTACAGCTGCCATTAACATACCAAAAACTAAGTGGCTTAAAATAACAGAAATGTCTTCTCTCACAGTTCTAAAGGTGAGAAATCTGAAATCAAGGCGTTGGCAGCGTGGGTTCCTACTGCGGGCTCTGAGGGAGAGGAGCTTCTCCATTCTCCTCTCCTAGTTTCTGGTGGCAGCTGGCAGCCCCTGGCCTTCTTGGCTTGTAGATGCGTCACTCCAGCATCTGCCTCCGTCTTCACTGGCCTTCTGCTCTGTGTCTCTCTCTCTTCACATGGCTGCCGTCTTATAAGGACACCACTTATATTGGAATAGGGACCAATATGACCTTATCTTAACTAGTTAATCTGCAGTGACCCTATTTCCAAATGAAGTCCCACTCTGAGGTCCTGGGGGTCAGGATTTCAACAGATCTTTTTGGGAAGGACATGGTTCAGCCTCTAACATTCATTTATCATAAAATCCATTATAAGACAAGGGTTTGGCCATTCTGTGTCACTGTTCTTTGAAGAGAAAATGCTGAGAGGAAGTCACCTGGCTGTTGGCAGGTGGCCGCGGGAGCCAAGGAAGTAGCCGTCTTTGGAGCCGCCTCGGAGCTCTTCACCAAGAAGAACATCAACTGCTCCATCGAGGAGAGCATTCAGCGGTTCGGTGAAGTCCTGAAGGCAGCTCGGGCGGCCAGCATCCCTGTGCGAGGGTGAGTCTGGTCCCCTCTCCTCGTACCCTCTGGAGCGGGCTGCGCTCTGACTCCAGCAACCCTCCCCTGCCAACTCCTCCTCTTGGGTGCAGGCAGGAGCTCCACACCTAGGTGCTTTTCCCAAGTGAATGTGGTCAGAAGAAATCCTAGCAACTGCTTTCCCCAAACCTGACTTTGGGGTCTGTTCACCAGCGGATCTAGCAGGACAGGCCACTAAACGGGGTTCGTGGAGGTCAGTTTAATCCTGGCTCCACCACCAACTCTTGACAGATCCCTGAAGAATCCGCTAGGTCTCTAAGTCTCCAGCTTCATGTCTTTAGTAGCAGCAGTGCCAGGCGTGGTCCCTGCGTTACCTAACTGTAGCCGCACAATTGCCCAGCAAGGAGGGGCTGTCCCCGCTTACAGATGACAAGACAGAGGCTCAGGAGGATGAAGAGTCTGCTGTAGGGTCACCCAGCTGTCCAGACTGCAGCCAGAGGACTCTGTCAAAGTGCGCATCTGATCACATCCCTCCCTGGTTGAAAACCTGTCAGTGATGCCCTGACTCCAGACTTTTCAGCATGATTTACATGCCCCCTCCACTCTCTGCAGCCTCGTCTCTCCCTGCGTGCTTCTGCCCTGCTTCCCTTGCACGCTGCATTCTAGCCCAGCTGGAGCTTCTTTCCATTTCTCACATGCTCCCACTTTCTCTTGCCTCTGGGCCTTTGCACGCACTTTCCATGGACTCAAAACTCCTTTCCTCCTGCAGCCTACTTGTCAGGGCTAACTCTTGCTCATCTTCAGGTCCCCTCATGGATGCCAGTTCCTCCAAGAAGCTTTCTCTGTCCTTCAGCTGAAGTTGGTGCCCCTCCTCTGTGCTCCCGTAGTTCCCTGGACATCTGCTAACGTGGCACTTAGCAGCTTGTTAAATTCTCCCCTCCTCCCACTGCCACTAGACCGTGCTCTCCGTGAGGGCAGGGCCCCCATCTTTCCTAGTCCTGGTGTGCTCCCTCTCCTGGCTCAGGGCTAGCACACAGTAGGTGCTCAGGAACTGATGGGCAGATGGATGGGTGGGGAAGCGGCGGCTCGTCAGGTCTGCCTGACTCAGAAGCCTGTGCTCTTCCCTCAGTATCTGTCTTGTCTTTTCATTGCTCAGCAATGACTGGAGAATAAGGGGGAGAATTAAAATGGAAAAATTTACAGATCTTTGAGTCTGCAGTTATTTATCCAGCAAACATTTATTATGCCTCTTAACATGCAGAATAGTTCGCTAGACTTGGAAAGGTCTTAGCGGCGCCTCATCTCCAGCGGGGCGGGTGAGAATAGAAGCTGCCTGCCTCCGGGACCCAGACTCCTTACCGTAGCTCACAGGGGCCGCTGACCCGCGGCCTGTGCCCGCCTCTGCGACCTCATGTCGTCCTCCTCTGCCCCTTGCTCTCCACGCCTCAGCTCTTCTCCCTTGGTTCTCTGTCTGAGCACGCCCGCTCTTCCGTCTCAGGGCCTCTGCCCTGGCTCCTCTCTCTGCCCGCAGTGCCCTTCCATGGCTCTCCCCGTTCTCTCAGCTCAGCGTCGTGTCTCCACAGAGATCTTCCTGGACCACCCTAGCTGTTCTTGGCCCCCTCCAGTTGCTCCTGTCACACTTTCCTGTTCCTCCTTGATAGCACATCGCTTTCTGAGATCATCCCATTCACTCATTCGTCGTCTTTTTATCGGCTCTCTCCCTGACTTGAAATAAGCTCTATGAGGCTAGGGACCTAGTCAGTCTTGCTCACTCCAGGCGCTGCCCGAGTGCCTGGCACATGGTGGGCAACTCAGTAAATGCCAGTTGAATAAATGAGTGTGTGAATCCTCTGGCAGCGCACCAGAGCAGCTGATCCTTTGGGCTCAGGCCAGCCCAGCTCTTTTGTTCCTGCCTTTGGTTTCATCAGTCCTCGGTCCCCACCTTTGAGTATGGGCCCCAGCCGCCCCGTCCCACATGCCACTTTCCCTCTCGTCTCTGGGGCTCTGGTGTCTGCTCACACTGCCCTGGCCAGCTTCTCCTCCTCTGCCTGCTCTCTGGTTGCCTCTCCTGAGACCTGTGCGACCCCTGCTTCCTGAGCTACAGGCCTCTCAGTCCCCTCCCTCCCTGGCTGTGGCTCTCCACCGCCCCCTCCTGGCACTGATGAGTGGCACTACCTTCGTTCTGGCTCTCCATCATTGACATAGCCTCGACGTAGCCTCCTGCCCAGCTTCAGCTTCTGATTGCGGGCAAACCGGGGAGGTGTCAGACAGCCACCCTGCCCCAGCCTGCTGGCCACAGAGCTCGGGGGCTGTGACACCATTCCTCCCCTGTCTTCCCACAGGTACGTCTCCTGTGCACTTGGCTGCCCCTATGAAGGGAAGATCTCCCCAGCCAAAGTCGCTGAGGTGTGTGTGTGTGTGCACGTCGGAGGGGTCTTTTCTGAGGGGTGGGGCCTTGCCTGCTCCGAGGGCCTGGGTTCCCCCTTTCCTGGCGGGTCACTGATTTCATTGGTTCACCCAGCTCCTTCATTAAGCCCCTCTGAGAGCACAGCCCTGCGCTGGCTCCTGGAGGCCCCCTCCTTGCCTGGCCGGGAGCCTCGGAAGCCCCTGCCCTCCACCCCGGCGTGGAAGCCAGCAATTGTTTCCATCCTGCTCAGTCCACGTGATGGTTGAGGTGATAATGCTCTACAGAGGGGTTCCTCCCCCACGAGTCCCTGCAGTTCCTCGTGGTGGCCAGAGAGGCCACTTGACAGCCTCTGAGCAGCAACCAGTCAGCTCTGAGAAGAACCAGCGTGGGGACTGAGTCTGAGCAACCCAAGAGCTCGTGTCATTTAGTCCTCAGAACCACCCTGCAGACTTGAGAGTTGAGGAAACAGACTGACCACCTTGCCATGCAGGTTGCAGATGGTGAAACCGGGTCTCAACCCCCATCTTGTTTCCCTCCAAGGCCCACTTGCTCTTCCCACAACACCATGGAGCATCCAGGAGTGAGGAGTGGTGACGGGAGCAGCCGCTGACTGAGCGGCGCTGGGCCCAGGCCCCAGCCTCCCAGTGCCGCTGCCTCACCGTAGCCCTACAGAGGCTCCCCACTGTTTCTCAGAAATCAGCAAAGTCCCTTGCCAAGGTCCCACAGCTAGGGAGCGGCAGATCTGGGATTTTAATCCAGCATCACGGCACTGCCGAGCCTGCCCCCTCCTCTGCCCCTCTGCCCCACAGGCTGCCGCGGCGCCTCAGCTCTGCCCACGTGGGCAGTGGGGGTGCTCACCGGCTCCTCCGTCCAGCAGACCACTGTGGAGTATCATCTGGGCCCTTGTGCCTGCCACGTCCTTCCTCTGCCTTCTCCAGCAGAACAGTGGGGGCAGCATCTCCTCAGGCGGGGCAGACCTTGCTCTGGTTTTGCAGTGATTTTACGGGTTTGCAAATGGGCTTCTAAACATTTAAACAGTTAGGTACTTCTATTAAAACTGTATAACTAGCACGTCAGACCCATGACTTCACAGATCTTCTTCGTGAGGGTAAAGCTCTGTGAAAGGACTGAGTCTCACTGACGCCGGTGCCTGGGTCTGACACAGTGCGAAGGTGGTAAGTGAAGGACTGAAGTCTGAGTGGGTGGGAGGCGCGCCCAGGAGTTGGAGCACCGGCGCCCGCACCAGCGGCCAGCGCGCCCTTACGTCCCAGGCTTCTGGAGCAGAATGAGAATTATCATCCCCACTCAAAGCTGTAAGGAGCCTGCGATCCGATAGGATTTTAGTGCTTCAGATGTTCTGCACAGGTGAAGGACCCCTGGTGGAGGGAGGAATCTGGTGTCCTCCAGCGCCTGCTTGTTTCCCCAGGTCACCAAGAAGATGTACTCAATGGGCTGCTACGAGATCTCCCTGGGGGACACCATCGGCGTGGGCACCCCCGGGGGCATGAAGGATATGCTGTCTGCTGTCATGCAGGAGGTGCCTGTGGCTGCCCTGGCTGTCCACTGCCATGACACCTATGGCCAGGCCCTGGCCAACACCTTGATGGCCCTGCAGGTAATCAGGGCATCTCCTAGGAGAAAGGCACGTGTCCCTTCTCCCAAAGGGCATGGCAGCGGGACAGCCCTGTTCTCTTTATTCTTTCAGCCAGCGTTCACTGTGTGGAATGCTGATGCCTGTGTGCCGGGCCCTGGGCTGGCCACCTTGGACACAGACATGAGCCCCTGCCGTGAAAGCGCCCATCTGTCTGTTAGGGGAGACAGTCGAGGGAGCTAGGTGATGATCCTAATATATTGTGACAAGTGCCAGGGAGAGATAGGGAGCATGGCACTGAGGAGGGCGCCCACCCCAGCTGGGGAGGTCGGAGAGGATTTGCCGCAAGAGGCCTGTGGCCGTGAAGCTGAGCGGCTGAAAGGGGAGCGGGAAGGTGCCTGGGCAGCACCGCTTTGTGGGACTAAGCTGGGGTTCAGGGAGGACTCCTGGACGGACCCTGCCCTGTGACAGCATGCACGTGTGTGTGTGTGTGTGTGTGTGTGTGTGTGTGTGTGTGTGTGCATGCATGCACGCGCATATGTGGAGGGGGCGGGCGAGGAGACAGGACGCAGGGAAGTAGGCAGAGGTCGCTCACAGGGAGAACCTTGAATGTTGTAGCCTGAAGATTGGACTAAGACCTCAGAATGGGTTTCCCTTGAGGTTTGCTTCTGATGGGCTGGCCCAGAATGATGATTCCATGGACAGGCAGCTCTTAGGAAGTTCTGAGTGTCTCACCACAGGCTCCCTTGCTGTAGCCTTAGGCCAAGTCTAATCTATTGTCTTTAGGGCAGTCTTGGGCCACTTTTTTTTTTCTTTCTTTCTTTCTTTCTTTCTTTTTTTTTTAATCTCAAATTATCTCCTAGAGGCTCATGTCTTTAAGCCAGGGGACTCTGTTGCCTTCTGGGTCTGTTTCCTCAGAGTTGTGGTTGTCAAGGTTAGGGTCTGTTAGAGGATTAGGAGAGAGGAGAACGTGGCAGTCACCTAGGAGAGCGAGCAGCACCTGGCCTGGGGAAATGGGCCCGTGGGGTGAGGGGCCGGACTTGAAGTGAGAGCAGCCTTAACAACGGGCCTGAAATCTCAGCAGGCGAGGGGGTTACTTTAGGTCGCTGGTGATCAGGAACGGCCTCTCTGAGGTAGTGGCTTTTAGGCTGAGACCTTAGGGTGAGAAGGAGTCCGCCATGAAAGGAACTGAGGGAAGATATTCCTGGCAAAGGAAACACTATGTCCACAGAAGACTCACACTGTTCCAGGAACTAAAAGGAGAAACACTGTCACTTTCTTTCAGTGGGATTTTCACTTTACAGAATTCTTAGCCAAAGGAATGAATAAAACTCAGTGGAATTTCAGGCAGCAGTTGATTGAGAGGTTTATAAGGACTAGCTTTGTAGGCTCTGGTCCCCACAGTGACAGCCATGTCTCACCATCCTTATGTTTCCAGATGGGGGTGAGTGTCGTGGACTCTTCTGTAGCAGGACTTGGAGGCTGTCCCTATGCACAGGGGGCATCGGGAAACTTAGCTACTGAGGACCTCGTCTACATGCTGGCCGGCTTGGGCATTCACACGGTAAGCCCGCCTGCCCCCTGGTGGTGGTAGCCTTGAACTGCCCGGAGCTCAGCCTGAAGCCAGAGGACAGAAGCCCATGGGGTTTGTTTAGGGTTGGGGGGCGGGGTGCTGTTAAGAGGGGAAGTGTGCTGGGGATTAGGGATGTTTTCAGAATGGCAGAGTGTGGTTGATTGAGGCCACAAGGCCAGGCTCAGTGACAGACAGCTCAGTTCGGGGAGGTGCTGTGGTGTGGGGAAGGAGCCCTGGTCGGCCTGTGACCTGAAATGAGTCAGCTCCCCCTGGATCTTTGTTTCATTCTCTGAAAAATGAGGGCAGTGGAGTGAGACAGACCCCCGGGCTCTGTCAGAGTCAGTAAGGGCCCTCAGTGTGGGTTGGAAGCAGCATAGCATCTGTGCTTTGGGATCAGACGGAACTGAGTTTAAAACCTAATCCTGCCACTCACAGGCTGTGTGACCTGACAAATTACTTCACCTCTCTGGGGCTAAGAAATGGGAATGTTAATAGCACTTGTCTTATAGGGCTGTTAGGAGGATTAGGTAGGAAAATGTAGAATGCTTGGCCCAGAGCTGAGCATACGGGACAGTCTGAGCTATTGTGATGAACAGAGGTTTTGGTGCGGCCCTTTTAGTTGGTGTTTGCCCTCCTGCCTCTCTCTGCCTCACAGTCCTCACGTCAATATGCAGTCTTTGACTACCATGGGCCAGGCCCTGTGCTAGGCCCCGGAGATGGATAAGACGCATGAGATCTTACCCTGGTGGCAGCACTACGAGCCGTGGCACAGATTGAGGCATCTTACACAGGGGGAGTCACAGGGCCAACCCCAGACGCCAGAAGGACACGACCTCACGGGCAGCCGGTGTCCCACATCAGAGGAACAAAGCCTGTTTGTCTTCACCCTTACTTTTCCAGTATCACAGTTGTCTGTTTCCCTGGGTGTTGAGGGCATGTCATGACTTACTGCATCTTCTGACTTGTTTCTCGAAGGGTGTGAACCTCCAGAAGCTCCTGGAAGCTGGGACCTTTATCTGTCAAGCCCTGAACAGAAAAACCAGCTCGAAAGTGGCTCAGGCTACCTGTAAACTGTGAGCCTTCTGCCCACCCAGAGCCCCGGGGCCTGTGTAGGAACAGGGGCACGCGGGGATGACGCACCAGGGAGTGCGTGGCACTGGGAGTGCAATTACCAGAGCAGGCACCTCCGCCAGCCCTGCGCTAGTCTGTCCTGGAAGAAAGGAGGCGAGGGGCGCGGCCTCAGCTCCTCCTTCCTGGAGGGCTCCTTTCACCACAGACCCAGCAGCCTGGGAGCTGAGTGCCTCAGGGCACTTGGGAACCCAGTTCCCCAGCTTGGGTTGATCCTCAAGTCTCATCTCTGGGTGAAGTAAATCTGCCAGCAGGCGCCTCTACCCAGCGCGACCCTGCCGTAGCCCTGGGGACATTGCTCTCTGATGTCATAGGGCAAAGGGGTATGGAGTTTTTTCCCAAGCTGGCAGAAGGCATTTGCTGAAGGAGGTGAGGGCTGAGCTCTGGTGGCCACCTGCCAACGCCAGCACCTCTGGAAAATCTCTACTCTAAATGTGATTTGTGAAATCAGCTTATGTAACTACAGTTTAATGACACAGAAACATTCCAGTATTCTGTTGTGCAGATGTGTATGTATGAGAGTGGGGGAATAAAACATCTTTACATTTGCACTCAGAGGAAAATGTGGACTTCAGTTATTAATCTCTGGATTTTCTCTGTCTTCCCACCTGAGCTCCAAATTCATAGTGACCAGAACTCGGCAGCTTTGGGCTTACTCAGGGCTGGCCAGAACCCCCTGGAGGCGCTGTTTCTGAGACTGTAGGCTCTGACCAGGGCTGTCGCACAAGCTCCTCCACTGGCAGCAGCTGCCACTTGCTCCTCCGGGTCTGGGTGCCCTTAGCTTTCTGTACCCCAGGCTCTGGCGCCTGTCAGTCGTCCTTGCCGGGCACCCCAGGCTGCGGGAAGCCCTTGTGCGTTTGCTGCTTTGCTCAGGTTTCCTCTCTCAGTATGCCCTCCCTTTATTTTAAACGGGAACATGACCTCATTTTCTAACCCACCAGGACAGGTAGGGTGCGGACAAACCATCCCTGGCCGCACACGGTTTGTGTGCCGGCGGAGCGTAATCGGCGCTGTGATTCCTACTTGAGCTCCAGCTCTTTGGAGGGTTTTCGAACTCGACTTCCCAGAACCAGCGGCTTCTGGGCGACGCCCCCATTGCCACTGTTCCAGGCAGTTGTGTGTTCATGCCAGGCCGACTCGGAGGAAAGGGTCTGGCAGACACCAAAGGCTGGGAGAACCTGTGGGTGGACGGGGTCCGGGGTCGTCGGGCAGCCGGGCGCCGAACAGGCCGCGGACCTCCGCCGCCCTGCTCTCGGGCCCCAGGTCCCGGCCGCTTTCCGCCCGCCAGTCGCGCAGCCAGGACTGTCCCGCTCGCTCCTGCCCGCTGCGGGAGCGCGCCGCGGAGGCGCTTCGCAGCCGCAGCGCCGTTTGTCCGCCCGGCGCCCCGTAGTGCCGTCTCCTGAGTGACACGTTTCCTTGGGGGCGTGGAGGGGGCGGGGCCAAGGTGGGCCGTCGGCTCTTAAAGGGACCCAGACGCGGGGCGCGGGAGGCGGCGCCGCTGGAGGCATCTTGGGGCGCGCGGTCCCGATCAGGTTCTGGAGGCGAATGGGGGGCTGGGCGGGCTCGCGAGGGGCCGGGTGGTCCGCCGGGGGCGAGGGAGAGTTTCAGGGCTCCGGGCCGCGTTCTGGGCAGAGTTCCCCCAGGGCGGGCGTGCCCGCCCCGCTCGTCCCAGCTCCCAGCACCCGCTGCCTTGGCTGGGGCGGCCGGGTTCATTCATTCCCGGCCTGGGGACTCCTAGCTCAGCCCCCGCGGAGCCACGGCCCCGATTCCAGCCCGAGGCCCGGCACGCTCGAGCGCTCACGACCCAGACCTTCTCCCCTCCATTATACAGACCGGGAAAACTGAGGAGGCGACAGCTGATCGAGGTCTCCCCGCCGGTCCGAGGCGAGACAGGTCTCACCTGCCTTCTTGCCTCCCAGGGCCTCTCCGCGACCACTTCCCGGGGGTCCGCACTGTGCGTGGAGCTCGGCGGGGAGGGGGTGGGGGCGGCTTCGGCGTCGGGAGCAGAGTCCAGCAGGAAGCAGTGGGGGGAAGGGCGAACTGCTTGGGGTGAGAGGCCGAGCTGTGAGCCTGGAGATCCAGATTCTAGCCCAACTAACACTAGCTGGGTGACCTCAGGCAAATGACTTCACCTCCCTGACCTTAGTATCATTCTCTGTGAAGTGCCAGTAATAATACCTTTCTTGTCTGGATGTTGGGGGAATTCAAGAAAATAATGCAAAAGTGCGTGGTACAGAGCCTGGCACGCAGCGGGCACTCAGTCAAGTGGGTTGGAGCAGGGTGTGCCCAGAAGGGGATTGAGGCAGCCAGGAGGAAGGAGGCTGCAGGCCAGGCCGAATGAAAGGCCTCAGTGTCTGGGGCTTCCTCCCTGCTCTGCCCTCAGAGTTTGTTCAGGGCAGAGTTGCACACCTGGCAGTGGAGTTGGGGCGAAAGCCACGTCTACACCGCCTGGCTCAGTGCCGCCTAGAGTTGGGTGGGATCCTCAGCTCCAAGCTGGGAGTGACCCGTCTGGCCCTGGCATGAGCAGAGGCTGAGCCAGCCTGGCTGCCCCGGGGTGGGGTGGGGTGTGGCCCACTCCAGGACTGCAGTGCTGTGCCCCGGAGCTGGGCTCAGCCTGCCTGGCAAAGCACGCCAACCTGAGATCATCGGATGACTTTCTTGCTTCCTCCCAGCTCCCCTTGAGGGAGAGGGAGTCAGGGGGCTGCCTAGAGCAGGAGGTATTAGTCACTGAGCCAAGAGCCAGTCTACACCTAGTGATGGCGGAGGAACTGAGAAGCCCGAGTCTGAGCAGACAGAGCCCCTTCCCGGGCTCTTGGATTCTCAGTGCTGCTGCCCTCTTTCCATCCGCCCAGGACTGTCCAGTCCCCAGACACCTTGGGGAAGGCAGCGCCGAGCCTCAGCTTCCATATTCCCAGCCCCGTGTCAACTGGGTCTAGACAACAGGGTGCCTGTGAGTCAGGCACGCCACCTGTACCATGTGGCAGGCCTTTAAAATCACCTCATGGAACCCTGAAACTACCAGACATTTGTACAATTATAAGCTCCGTCTTAAGAGATCGAAACTGAGGCCAAGAGAGGATAAGGGCTCTGCAAGGCCTAAGGCCAGGAAGTGGTGGTATCCGGACTTGGACCAGGCCTGACTCCAGAGCCACCCTGTTAACTAGGACACACCATTGCCTCCCTCCAGAGGCCAGACTCCAGTTAGAAGGAGGCCCTTAGCAGGCAGCCTCAGCCACCTCTGAGACTCTGTGTCCTGGGTCAGGTGCGATGGCAGAGAAGGTGCTGGTAACAGGCGGGGCGGGCTACATCGGCAGCCACACAGTGCTGGAGCTGCTGGAGGCGGGCTATTTGCCTGTGGTCATCGACAACTTCTGTAATGCCATCCGTGGTAAGCACAAGGGCAGGGGGCTGGGGCTTCTGGAGAGGATGGAAGGAAAACCCTGGCTTCCACCTCCACCTTTGGGGGGAGGGGGGGTGGTGTCCGGCTAGTCTCTTGGGAACCCAGGACCCCAGCTCCTCTGATGTCGATGGCCTCCACGTGCTCAACCAGGAGAGGGCTCCATGCCTGAGAGCCTGCGGCGGGTGCAGGAGCTGACAGGCCGCTCTGTGGAGTTTGAGGAGATGGACATCTTGGACCAGGCAGCCCTACAGCGTCTCTTCAAGAAGGTGGGTGCTTGGCAGGCAGGCAGCGGGCACTGCCAAGGGTCAAGGCCTGTAAAGCAACCTCTGACCCCGGCTTTGCCCCTGCAGCACAGCTTTATGGCAGTCATCCACTTTGCGGGGCTCAAAGCTGTGGGCGAGTCAGTGCAGAAGCCTCTGGATTATTACAGAGTTAACCTGACAGGAACCATCCAGCTTTTAGAGGTGAGACGGGCAAGGACACAGACAGTGGGAGGGCCTCTCACCAGGTGGGCAGTGCCAGACACAATGGTTAGGGGCCTGGGGCAACAGTGAGACAGGGCCCAGGCTGTATCATCTTAGACACACGTGTTTTTGCCTCTCAGCCTCAGTCTCCCCATCTGTACATGGGAGTGCCCATACCTCAGCCTCACCCACCTGTGAAGGAGGAAGCGGGTGGGAATAACGTGTGGGGCAGAGGCCACTGACACCTCCTTCCATGGCCAGACCATGAGGGCCCACGGGGTGAAGAACCTGGTGTTCAGCAGCTCAGCCACCGTGTACGGGAACCCTCAGTACCTGCCCCTGGACGAGGCCCACCCCACGGGTGGCTGTACCAACCCCTATGGCAAGTCCAAGTTCTTCATTGAGGAAATGATCCGGGACCTGTGCCAGGCAGACAAGGTGAGGGCCCCACCTTGACCCAGCCTGGGCTCCGCGCACGGACTCCTCATGGCTTCCCCATGAGCCTGAGGACGGGATCCTGAGCAACTCCCAGCAAGGAGGAAGCTAGGGCTTGGGAAGCAGCGGTGACTTGCCCAAGGTCACAGCACTAGGGGGAGGGCCTGATCCTCTGCTCCTTTCTAGAGATAGAGAACAGGCAGGGGGTGGGGGAAAGGGCTCAGGATTCAGCTGGCTCACACCGCCTGGGCCCCCACCCATGTGACCTGTGTCCCACAGGCCTGGAATGCAGTGCTGCTGCGCTATTTCAACCCCATAGGCGCCCACGCCTCCGGCTGCATCGGTGAAGATCCCCAGGGCATCCCCAACAACCTCATGCCCTATGTCTCGCAGGTAAGGGAGAAGGGGAAGGAGGGGGCGGCCCTAGGGTTGACGGGGTACAGCTAGCTGGTGTCAAGGGCCTGGGAAGAGCTGACCTGACCTCCACCCCAGGTGGCGATAGGGCGACGGGAGGCACTGAATGTCTTTGGCAACGACTATGACACAGAGGATGGCACAGGTGAGCCCAGGACCAGGAGGACCGAAGAGTGAGAGCCAGGAGGAAGACTGAGGTGGAACAGACTATACTGAGCCCTCCCACCCAACCACTTCCTCCTCTGCAGGTGTCCGGGATTATATCCACGTCGTGGATCTGGCCAAGGGCCACATCGCGGCCTTGAGGAAGCTGAAGGAGCAGTGTGGCTGCCGGGTAGGGAGAGAAGGGAGAATGGAGGGGAGAGAGGAAGATGGAGTCCTGGGCAAATGGGGCCCAGAGGGGGAGTGAGTCCAGCCCCTCCACAATCTCTATTTACCTCTGCTGGGCAGATCTACAACCTGGGCACCGGCACGGGCTATTCAGTGCTGCAGATGGTCCAGGCCATGGAGAAGGCTTCTGGGAAGAAGGTAGGCCTGCTGTTTACCCCACTCCCACCCAACTCTCAGTGCAGCAGACCTGGGCCCCTCCCACTAGCCTCCAAGATGCGCACCCCAGCACTGCCCCATCTACTCAGCCCGCCTTGGCACTGGGTGCCTGCGAGCGAGACCCTGCTCTGCACCTGCATTTCTCGAGGGGCTGGTCAGCAGCTGGGTGGGTGAAGCCGGGGCCAGCTCAGCTAAGCTACGACTGCCCCTTCTCTTGCAGATCCCGTACAAGGTGGTGGCACGGCGGGAAGGTGATGTGGCTGCCTGTTATGCCAACCCCAGCCTGGCCCTCAAGGAGCTGGGCTGGACAGCAGCCTTAGGGCTGGACAGGATGTGTGAGTGCTAGCCGCAGCCCCTGACCCTGGGTGCTGGCCTGACCCCTGGGAGAGTTAGGGGCTAAGAAGGAGCTGACTGGGTCTGGGCATGCCCACCCTGGGCTGCCTGAGGTGGTGCAGGCCCTGCATTCCAGTGTGGACCCTGACCACACATCTCACCCCGTCACAGGTGAAGATCTCTGGCGCTGGCAGAAGCAGAACCCTTCAGGCTTTGGCGCGCAGGCCTGAGACCTTCCCCTGCCGTGGTCCAGGAAAGGAAAAGAGAAACAACTGCCTGCTCTCCAGCCTCGGGCAGGAACCCAGGGGTCTCAGAGGCTCTGCTACCTCAAACCCCAGCTGGGCCCGCTCAGCCCACCAGGCATGAGGCCAAGGGCCCCAGTGACCTGGAGTCGGGGGTCTCTAACTCTTCTCTTTCAGAGTCTGGGAACCCATCAGGATCTCCAAGAACAAGATGGGGAGGCAGGGCCTTGAAACAAAACACCCTCCTCCCAGGCGCTAATTTATACTGCTATGAAGAAGTTTTCCAAAGTATTTAAAATAAAAAGTTTTCTTACACTGGGACAGATTCTTGCATGTGGTCACTCTCTATCCCTCAGACAGAAGCAGCCATGCCTGAGAGTTGAAGCAATTTCTTTAATTTTATCGGAATCCAGGACACAACAAGAAAAACACCCAAAACCACATGGAGACAGAAGACGAGACACAACTCCTCCCCCACCACCCCCTGGCCCTCGAGTGGGGACAGCGTGGGGGTGAGACAGCCGGGGGAGACCTTGAGCCTCAGTGCAGCCCTGCAGGCTCCAGGCCCACAGGGGAGGAGGGGAATGGGGAGGCAGGGCCCAGCCCCAAGTCAGAAATGGCTGAGGGAAGGCCCCCTCGAAGGACTCCGCCCCCTCACCAACACTCCTGCCCAGGCAGGGAGCCCACAGCAGCTAGGGGGCCCGGGGCCATGGACACATTCATGATTGAGAAGCAGCTGGAGTGGAGGCAGGAGAGACACACGATTATCTGGGCAGAATCAGTTGGGGTGGGGGTGGTAGGTGGGGCCTAGGAGGGCCCCATGGGCCAAACCCTGAGGTCACAGGAGGGGGCCCAAAGCGGGGCTAGTGAGTGAGGTCCTGAGTGAGTGGGTCAGCGGCTGGGCCCCTTTCTCCCGCTGCCTACAGCCCCTCAATACTGCTGCCAGGGTGGCCCACCTCCAGGGAAATGGGATAAGAAAGCAGCCCACCCACGGCGGCAGACAGCCTGGTGACTGAGGCCAGGAAGGAAGGCCTGGCCAGGCCTCGGCCTGCCTGCTCCAGAGGCCCATGGGAAGAGGACGGTCAGGGAGGGTGGGGACGGGCTCGACCGGCTCAGATCCAAGATGGTGCCGCACGTGCTGGGTCCCCCATGAGGTGAGGGACTGTGCTGGGGGCCAGCAACTCTGGTTAGACAGGAGGCAGCAGCTTCTCGAGAAACTCCTTCACGGCTGCCATCTCCTGGGAATGAGGGGGGACTGTGAGAGGCTCCTGGCTGGAGGGAGGAGGGCGAGGGGTGGGAGTGGGAAGGGGCCCCACACCACTGACCTGAGGACAGGAGCTGTGCATGACACCTGGGTAAGTCTTGAATTGGACCCTGGCGGGTGTGACAACGGACCGGAGTTTTTCAGCCGTCAGGGCCCCAAATCGTACAGGAACCATGGGGTCCAGCTCCCCATGGCACTGAAGGATGGCCAGGTCCTTGGCACTGCCGTTGGCTGCCTGTGTGCCAGACAGGACTCAGAGGGCAAAGCCAGTGCTTCAGCACAATCCCCAAGCCACAGGGAGACTCAACGGGCAGGAGGAGGGTCGTGGAGACACTCACCTGGGGGAAGGCCCGGTGCAGAGGCAGCCAACAGCTCAATGCCACAATGCCAGCCAGAGGGTGGGGGCAGGTGAGGGCCGTGTAGAGGGACAGGGCCCCACCCTGGAGGGAAGAGAGAAGGAGAGGTCATGAGGGCTCAGCAGCTCACCTACCACCCCCTACCCGTCACCCCTCACCCCCCTCTCTCTCCTCTCACCTGTGAAAAGCCTCCCAGGACAATACGATTGGCAGGGATCCCATTCTTCATCTCGTGCTCAATCAAGGCCTTGACTGGGGGGAGGGGGCAAGACTAGGTGGGGGCAAAGCTGCTGGAAGGGCCCAGGGAAGGGAGCCAGACAGAGGTACTGCCCAGCACTTTCCTGGGGAACCGAGGGGGAGAGGGAGGATGCTGAGGAGGGGCTGGGGCCTTACTGTTCTCTGCTGCCTTCTTGATGCCAGCCTCGTCCTCTGGGGCATCTGGACTCAGCCCCATCAGGTCAAACCTGGGGAAGCAGAGGCATTAGCAGCTACTGGAAGACCCTGGCCAGCCTCCTGTAGCTCCCTCAGCTCCCATCCCCCTCCTGAAACTCACCAGGAGGGCATCACCATCTTCATGTTCAGTGTCACAGGGATCCGAGGCCTGCGGAGAGAGAGCAAGAAGGGCCATCATGCTCAGGAGGGATGAGAAAGCCACAGCAGAGAGCCTGAGAGGGCGCAGGGCAGCCCCTGGGGCCCCTCCCAACAGGCAGGGCCTGTGTTTAAGGTGTTGCCAGGCAACTTGCCACATGGGGCTGGAGGCTGTGGTTGGGGCATCAGCAGTAGCGATGGAGAAGCAGAGCCCAACACTTGGGTGTGACGGGGTTCCAGCTCAGTTGGTGAGTGCTTGGGGAAGGGGCACAGGAGGTCCTGGTTCTAGGCGGCCTCAGGTCTAGGAGGCCTGGGGCTGGGTGGGGGGACCTCATTCCTGAGGGCTCTACAGGAGGGAAGGCTGAAAATGGCACTTCTGACTGCCCTGGGCCCAGGCCCCAGGATGCAGCTGGCAGGAGAGAATAGGCCTGGGACTACAGGACCACCCCCCAGCTGATCCCCATCCTCAGCCCCTCCCTTGCTGGGGTGACACTCACGCATGGGGACAGATGTACTTGACGTGAGGGAGCCGGATGGTGGAGAGGGCGTCAGCCCAGCTGTGCCTGTAGGAGGTAAGGGAGAAAAGGCACGGCTGTGGAGAGGGGGAGAGGGAGAAAGGGAGGGCGCAGGCCTCTCCAGCCCTGCCCACTGGGCCCCTCCGCACCTGCCTGAGGAACATCCCTCCCCAGCTCACTCACCCTGTGTCTCCAAGTCCATGTAAAAAAATAACCTGAGAAAGGAGCAGAGATGGGGAGATGAGGAAGAGGGCAGGAGTCACTCCCACTCTGTCCTCCAACTTCTGGCCACCCCTTCCCCACCCCCAAGGACCTGAGGGGAACCGAGGTAACAGGCCCAACAGGTTATTAACAGCCCCCCTCCCCCCCCACCGCCTCCTGGCTTCAGGATGCTCCCTTCTCATCACTGCCACTTCCATTTTTCCCACGCCCCCTCCAGCCAGTCCCCCAGCTGGCCTGGGAGCCAGGCTAGGAGGAGAGGACACTTACCGCGGCCGTTTCCCGCTCAGCTCCAGACACAGTGGCAGCATCAGTGAGCAGGGGCACAGACATGGTGTTACCACACATACACTGCAAGGCTCCACGGCTGGGGCCTGTGCAAAGCCAGGGCAGCAGTCAAGAGCAAGACCAGGCAGGAGACAGACTCCTGACACAGGGGCAGAGCCTTAAACCCAGGGCCCACCTAGGCCGTCAGCCCCCCACAGCACCCCGGGTTCTATCCTGAGCACAAACAAAAGGCAGGCAGGAAGTCCCGGGCCAGCGCGGGAAGGAAGTTGCCTCCATTCCAGGGCTGACGAGCAGAGGCAGCCACCCTAGTGGCCCTGGTTCTGGCCCCCTGCACAGCCTGAGCTTGCTGGAGATGGGCAGAGGCAGGGCTTAGGGGCAGTGGGCAGAGGAGCCAGGACAGCCCCTGCTGCCTTCCCCACACCTAACAGTCCCCAGCAGGTAACTGCCTCCTCCCTGATCTCCAATCATCCCCCTTCTCTAGAGCCCCTGGGTCCCCCTCCTCCCCAACTCCCAGCCCTGCTGAGAAACGAAGGGGAGAAAAATGCCGGTGACAATGCTTCCAGCCCCTACCCCCCGGCCCCACACACGTTTTCTCCACCCTGCCTCCCATCCAGCCCCATCACAGCACTTCCAGCTATTCTCAGAGCCCCTGGGGGCTGCCCATGTTCCCAGGAGGCACATGGACTCCCATCCACGACCCACCTCTTCACTGGTGCCCCACACCCCCCTGAATGGGGCTACCTGCTGCTGCTGCTGCCCACTGACCCCAAACAGGTCCCCCACCTGACTACACTCTGGGACTCCCAATCACACAAAAGAATGTCAGGCCGGCTGGCTCCTCCCACCCCTAGCATCCTCCAAACTCCCCACAAGCTTTGCTGCCGGCCCCTAAGTGCCTACCCTTCTCAGTGGTGCCCATCCCTCCCACCCCCTCAACAGGCTTTCACCTTCCATCTCTGACCCAGAAGTGCACCTCTCCACAGTGTGACCTCTCACCTCTGACCCTAGGGTCCCTCTTCTCACAGGGGAGTGCACCTTTCCTCCTAAGCTGGGGTTCCCTTCCTTCTCCACTGGGGACTTCCACCTCTCACTCCAGGATCCCTCATCTCCGAGGGGTGCCTTCCCCCGTGACCTGGGGTCTCCCTTCCCACAGTAAAAACGTCCACCCTGATCCAGAGTCTGCCACTCCCCACAATGGGAACTTCTCTTTTAACCAAGGGTCGCCCCCTCCCCACAGTGACATTTTCTATCCTGACTCAAGACCCGCTCCTGCTCACAAAGGTGCATTCTATCTTTCACCCTGGGAGCCCCCGCCCCACAACGGGATCTTCCACTTCCGACCCTGACTTCCCTCGCATCACTCCCCTTTCTTGCCCCTCTCTACCCGCAAAGTCCCCCGGACTGGCCAGCGCCTCTTCGTACCTCACTCCCCACCCCCATCCCTCGCAGTCGCGGTTCCCCCTCCCCATGCGCCAAGCCCCCCGCGGTGGTCCGCTCGCCTCCTAGTGCCCTCCCTCCACCTGCTGGTCCCGGAGCAGGGTACCTCCACTCCCTGGGGGTTTCGAAACCTCTCCGGCGATTCTCCTCTTCCTCCGGCACAGACACACACTCTTCCCCCTCCGCCGCCCCCGCCGGAACTTCCGTTCGAGTCCCGGGAACCCAGCCATCGCGCTGCCGGAAGTAGCCTGGCCAGCGGTACGGAACCCGGAAGTGGGCGTCGGGGATTCTCCAGCTAGGAGCTGCCATGTTGGATACGGTGGGGCCCATGCCCGTAATTAAGACACGGGTCACCTGCGGAATCTAGGCAGCGCGTGTGTGACTCCCACGCGCCAGCAGCACCCGTCAGGCTCCTGGAGGAAGCCTGTCCGGAAGGGGAGGCATTCCTCGCACTGGCACAGTTTCCCACCTTGCCATCCCCATGCGCCGCACTTCATCAGTCTTGGGTACCCACCACTGGCTTTCATGCCCTATTCCAGGATCACAGATGGATCATACACTGAACTGAAAAGACCCTTAGAGACCATCTAGTTCTCCAGTCTTATTTTAAGGATGAGAAAACAGGCTCAGGGAGGGGAAGTAAACAGCAGTCTCAGGATTACGCTGTAACACGGCCTCTCTGCACCTACTGCCTGACTACAAAATGGTGATAATAACCACCCTGCCTACTTCACAGCTCTGCTGTTAGGCTCAAATGAGGTCGCGTGGAAATGCTGTATACACTGTAAAGTCACAGCGTGAGGCGTAAATGACTCTACAAAGGACCCTAGGGAAATAACAGAGGCCATATCAGGACATCTGGACAGGCATTGGCAGTGTCGTCTTAGCTCTGCCCTCCCAAAGAACGCCATGCAGGCAGTGCACAAAGTAAAGCCGCTGATGAGATCCAGGTGTTAAAAACAAAAATGACTTCATTTGGTCACCACTCAGTCACCCTTTGTTGCTTGCTGCCCTGGAAAAGTGGAAATGGGGTCCACAGAAAGGCTGGAAGGGGAAGCAAACTGAGTTGAAGGCCCCTGTCCTGGAGAAAACATGTAGGCAAATGCAAACAGGATGTGAGTCATACTCATCCCTCAGCGGCTGAGGACGCGTTCTCCCAGGGTAACCTACACTAGTTTTTCTTTGAACTAAAACAAAACAGTAAACTTGGAAGCTTAACAAAGCACTTTTTCCCAGGTTGAGAGGCAGTTTGGTCTTAAGTCCTCAACAGGTCAGAGAGTCTAAAATGCCAGAATTCCGAGAGGAAATCTTTGGGTCCAGAGGACCACAGCAAGCCAAGGCCCCAGTACTGGATGTCAGAAGAAAAGGGAGAGGATGAAGACAACACAGCTGCCCCCACTCCCAAAAGAATCCCTGCCAGGTGGGCCTGTGGAAGAACCAACAATTCCCCCTGCACCCAGTCACCTGAGACACCTGGCACTTTGGAAAATTCATCAGAGTGAAACTTCAAATTCAGAGGCCCAGCCCGAGGGGCTGCCTGTGATTAGTGCTTTAATTAGTGGCATTAATGAAGGACTAGTCTGCTCTAAGATTTCTAACTTAATTTTCCCCCAACTCCAAATTAAAACACACAGCCCTTAATTTTTATCTCCAAAATGATCCAAGTGAAATACAGAGGCTGTGGCTGAGGAGTGAGTAGGACCCTTAGTGCATCAAGAATTGTGTTTGCATTCTGGTTGATTTCAGGCTGCATTTTAGAAATTTTGAAGCTTGATAAGGCTTGGTGGTGGCATGCTTTCTCTAAGACAGGCTGGAGAAACAGTGGGCATGTCCTCCTAACAACAGTATGGGCCAATCCCTCAGAGGAATTCTCTCAAGAGGATCAGATTCAAGACAAATTCCCATGACCAATTGTTTCTATTTTCTGCAAGGGAGGAGAATACTGACCATCTCAAAGCTCCTCTTCTGAGATTAAATTCTCTCCAATTGCTGTACTGACTTTCAAAATTTAAGTCCAAAGTTTTGGGTCCACCTTCAGACTGCATGTGCTGCTCACTTACTTTCCTCACCCACATTTCTTCTGATGAGCTCCAGAATCTGTTCTCCCTTATTTTTGTAAATGTCACTCTCCACAAGTTACCTCCTTTCATGAGAAATGGAATACAGGTTTTTAACCTCACCTTCCTATTTAGGAAATACGGGTGGATGGATGTAGGAGTGAATTAAGCTTGACCTTTCTGGAGAAACTGATCTAGTCTTGATATAATTGTGGCATTTATCTACCTAGTCCAAAACAACAACAACAACAAATTTCAAAGTTCCATACAGTTCCCAAAAAGTACAAGTTTCACATACTACCAAGAACTCAAAAGAATATACAAACATTAAGTCTGGCAAGGATTTATTAGGAAGCTTATTAGTCACAGTGAATAAAAAGCCATAAACAGAAGAACTGAGATCTCCAAATTCTGGCATTGGGCTTACAACACTAGTTAGAAGCTAATAAACATTAAGGATGTCCCAACAGGAATCTTACCTAAGTCCCAATCTTACCACGACCAGGATACCCACAAACACAGAAATGATGCCCATGCTCTCCCCAGACTGCTTACCTAGGCAGCAGGAAAAAAGACTTTCTCCTCAAGCTCTTAAGCAACATCAGGAGATTCCTGCTCTTCTAGCTATAACCATGAGACTCTACTGCATGACAGACAACTTCAAGCTTGGCAACTTGACAAGAAGGCCGAACGATGACAGGAAGAAGGAGCAAGCAGGAACAAGTATTTCTAGTTGGAGACCCTCCTTATGGCTAATACAAACACAACGCTGAGGCTTCAGAAAGTTTACTGCAGCCCAGAAAGTTTCCATTTTTAAAAAAACAAGTCACACAAAAATCCTGCCAGAAAGCAACAAGACACTTGGGATTCCATGGCCACATTGACTGGAAAGGCTGGCATTATCCATAACTGTCAGATGCTGACCAGCCCAAGACCCAATTTCTGCAGGGCCCTAGAAAATCATGATTGTCCCTCAGCACCCACACAACCCTCCCTGGTGGTGTGGTGTCTTCCACAGGCCAGGCTTCTGCAGCAAGCCCCAAAGACAAAGCTTGGCAGAGGCTGTGGCAGCCAACTCTCTCTGGAGCCCATCTCTCTGTCCTTCCCAACAGGATGTCGTACATCTTCACTGACACAGTGTGGGAGCCTCGGCCAGCCCTTAGGAAATGAAGTGTGTCTGTGGGGTAACCTGATGGACCCTGTGGTCTGCTGGGTTGGCTGATGCTTCATAGTTGCAGATGGTCACCTCATGTCGGCGAAGCTGCAAGAAAATTGAGAGGCTGGGTCAGCTGGTCATTCCCAGACCACATACTGGAGTAGTCCTTATTCAGGTTCACTTCTAGAAGCCATCATCCACCCTCTTCTCCCTTCTGATACTTTTATCCTGAGAAGCCTGCAAAAAATCATTATCAATGATTCACCCCATAACTGAGAAGATTCATTCCCCCACTATAATGGAGGCACCAAGAGAAGAGGACCTCGTCTATCTTGTTTATCATCTTATCTCTGGTGCCTGGAACAAGAAAAGTTATCAAACATGTTGAATGAAGGAAAGAATTCTAAATTATAAAAACTGAATTGATATCAATTGTATTATTTCAACCCCCTTAAAAATCCCTATATCCTGTCAAATGAGATGGATAGTTTAGTGACGAAACCAAGAAAAATTATAACCGGACTGGGAGCAATCACTGTCTCACTTGCTCTTTTTCCTTTCCTTAAGGTTCCCACTAGCACAGCATGCAGATATCTATACACATATATACATACATTGGAGGGGGCAATAATGTTTCCAACCCCATCTTACCTCAGTCCATTCTCCTCTCAGGCCGATATAAAAGACCTTTGTGGTATCTGCTCCAAAGTTTTTTGAAATATGAATTGAGAGATGATAGACGTTTGAAAAACGAGAAATTCTAGAGGACGAAAGCAGTGGGGAGAGGAGACACAGGTTAGAGTTCAATGAGAATCTCACAGCCATGTCAACAATTCCAGCTCCAACTTGTGGTAAAGCCCAGACAAATGTCAGAGAACACTCTTTGGGTCTTATGTCTCATTCTTCTCCTTTGGATAAGCAATTAATTCAATGAACACTGACTGAGCATCTGCCAGATCCTGCCCAAGGCAACAGGGATAGAAAAAGGAATCAACACTGTCCCCGCCCTCAAGGACCAGGAATGAGAAATGTCTTATGGCCAGGCAGGGGTTCAAAAGCAAGTTCAGTGCTGACCTCACCCTCAGGGAAAAGAGAGAACTAATGAAGAGATAAGGCCGGCATGTGTGATTTCGCCTGCAGTAAGGCCACTATGCAAGCAGGAATTCTGAAAACACATCTTTCCTAAGACCATCCTAGGAGCTCATTCAGATCTGCTAACTGCATACAAGTTAACAAGTCTGTGGCTTGCACCGAATCTCTGCCAAAAATTGACCAAGCCAAGGGTCAAGCCTCCTCCACTGTTTTAACTTATTTCTGATGCTAAGAGGGCAAGAGATGCGCCAAAAATAAACTGCAAGCCCTGGAAGCACTGACGTATGTATGCTCGCTGCAAATGAGGGAGCGCCTGCTGCTCCTCGGGAAAAGCCACGGACAGCGGAAGACAGGCCCAGTGCTTACTTTGTGGCATACTCTAGTTCTCCGGTAAGATCCCGGTTCAGACTAAAGGTCTGATCTGGCTCCCTGTCTGTATCATCAAAGGACATCTGTGGAATGTTCTTGTACCTGAGAAAGGAAAGGGAAGAAAAATCAACAAATGTGCATTATCACATTTTTCAGTTTTTCAAAACTTCCTACTGACTCCTCAACTGCCTTCGGTTCTATCGGAAGGAGAACAAATTTTGGAAACAGCATTTTACAGGCATTTATACACAAATATCTTTAATCCAACAAGAAAAGAGCTGAGAACTGCAACATAAGCCAATGGCATCTTTGAGTGGGTTAAGATCACATGAGAAGCAATACACAAAGAGATGGCTCAAACGAGGTCACGTGCAGCAAATGCATGGAGAAAACAGGCAACTCAGCACATTCAGATCAAGCCGAGGATGTTCAACAGCTTACTCATGGGAAAAAATAGTTTGGCAGAAACATATTAAACACAGTTAAGAGACATGATCAGGTAACCCAACGCTCAAACATTTTTCTGTGTTCAAAATTACCTGATATACTGAGTCATCTTACAATTCTTAAAAAAATACCATTTGGGGATTTCCACTTTGAAAAGGACACAACAGGCTTTGGAAAGTCAAGTAAAACTGCTAGTGAGGAAAACATTTTTCAAAGAAATATCTAAGAAACAGCTGTCTCCTCTAGCTCACAAATCTAAAGGACTGAGCCACACCCCCACCATCTCTAGAGTGTTTTATTGACACTCCCACATGGGAGGGGCCTAGATAGTAGCTGCAGCAAAATGCATATAATTTAAGAAAGCAAATGTTTGCTTCAAAGTGTTTCTAAGAATGATGCACAGAATAATAATAACAGTGAACATTTATGAGCAGCATTATGAAAGGCAGTGTCGTGCTGTAGTTCAAAGCAGGGTCTCCGGAGCCTGACTTCCTAGGCTTAAAGCCTGGCTCTGTCACTTACCAGCTGTGTAATTTTGGGCAAGTGATTTAACCTCTCTGTGTCTCAGTTTCCTCATCTGTAAAATGAGGACAGTGATAGTACATAACTCATCGGCTGATGCGGACATAAGTTGAATCAATTCTAAGAGACACATATTAAAAAAATTTTACTATGGAAAATTTCAAACACACGCAAAAGCAGAGAGAAAAATATAACAAATATATACTTATCACTCAGCTTCAATAACCAACATTATGCCGATTTTACCCAGCACACCCATTTTGTTTGTGCTTGATATTTTAAAGCAATCCCAAACATAACATTTCACTAATACTTCAGTATGTATCTCTAAAATGTAAGGACTTCTTAAAAAAAAAAAAGCCAGGATACAATTTTACAAAAATTAACAATTAACAACAATTCTTTAATATCATCTAACACCGAGTCTGTATTCAAATTTCACTGACTTAAGTCTCAATTTAACTTTTGTGGATGTGTCAATGGTATGTCATAGTTGAAGAGGCACTATTTTTTAATTAATGGTACATAAAATAATGGTGCCTTTTACAATCAATGACATCGTAGATTCAATGCAGTGTAATACATGTGAAGTGCTTACAATTTGGGGCTATGAAAGTATTTGCACCTGCTCTCCCAAGACTGGGCACTTACTACGTTCCAGACTTATTCTAAGCTCTTTCCATGTTAGATCTCATGTAATTCTCTCCACGATCTTGTGAGGTTCAGACTATTACTCTTCCATTTTACATATGAGAAAGCCGAGATATAGAGAAGATAAGTAATGCCCCAATGTCATGCAGCTAGCAAGTAGTACAGCCAGAATTTGAACCCAAGCAATTTATTCCAGAGTCCATTCTAAACCACAATGCAACATGGATGTCTAGTCTTCTCAAGCCAATCCATCTCCCAAGTAAGTGAGTCCCGAAAAGAATCAACTCGAACGTACTTTGTTTCCTTAAAATAATTAAGTATGTGGATTTGCTTTCAAATTCATGTCTCTAACATTCAAAAATAGTTTCAATTTCTTAAGTCTCTCATTTAAATTGATAAATTTTTCAGATGAAATTTTTTATGTAAAGATCTTCTGATATTTGTTTCTCCAGCACTCAGAAAGTGGTTTTCCCCTTCGTTTAGGGAGGCTATGCTGGCATAAGGCAAGTTGTCAACAAGGGAGCGTCAGCTCTGGTGGCAACAGATGAAGTGTTGCAAGAGGTATAGAGAACCTTGCTAACTAAAGGCCATGCAAACTCAGAGTAATTCCACATCAACAAAACACACACAAGGATTAGAACTGCACGAAATAGCAAGGGAAAATTCTGAAGCTAACCCCAAAAGTAGAATTCATAAAGATCACTTGAGATCTGCAGCTGGGTTATTAAGAAAACTGCAAAGTCATCAACTGTTGGCATTTATAGGATGCTCTCTGAATGAATGGTGCCACAGCAAGCACTTTGAAAAGAGATAAGCTGTTGGCCCTAAAGATGCTTAACCTAAAAGCCATTAACTCGGGAAGAGATAAGTGTGTGCAGAACAAGATCTTTTCTTAAAGGGAGTCAGGGGATATTTAACCCAGTAAAAAAAAAAATTCTATTATTCTGGAATAAAGTGCTACTAGAGAAAGGGAACTAGGAGCTCCTTGGGGGCCTAAGCCCTTGCCACTTACAGTCTCATCTCAGAAGGGTGTGAGTCATCGTCCTCTCCCATTATGATGATGCCTTTGAGCTTGACATTGCCTGTGAATCTGCCAGAATGCAAAAGAGAAGGTTGTCAACCTGGATTTGAATCTCTACTTAGTTGTGTGGCGCTGGGCAAAACCCTTCCCCTTGCTGGGCTTCAGTTTACCCATGTGTCAGACTTGTACTAGATAATCGTGAAGATCCGATGTGCCTCTGGCATACTGCAGTTCTAAAAAATCTACCTTGACTTCTCAGTTATCTTTTAACAAATACATCTCTTTTCAATATCCAGCAAGAAACCTATGATGCTTTCCTCCTCACACCCGCCACCGTCATTTACGCGGTTTCTAGAAACAGATGTGGGCTCTTGATACAACTAGGGAATGAACCCTGATAGGGCAACTGCGTACAGACTGTTTAGCCTGAGACAAGCACCGAGAAGCTACTTACGGAATATTAAACAGAAGCTCTTCATCCGCATCACTTTCAACAAACTGGAGGGGATGGGGAGGAGGAAGGAGAGAGAAACAAATATTTTCTGAGAGCCTAGAATTTCAGGTAGCTCCCACCCTGTTCTACAAGTGGAGCGCATTGCAAACAGTCCACCTCCCTCGGTTTTCCAGCACTTGTTAACCTGATGTTAATAAATTAATAGCCACAGACCATCCAATCAGACGGTTCTTAACGGGGAGCCCAGGAAATGAACTTCGAGGGCCAGCTAGCCTCCTGAAATTGTGTGCCAAGATCTGTGCCTAAGCGGTCCAGCTTTCAAACGGCTCTGTGACCCCCCCAAAATGATCTATGGTGCAGACAGGATGACGCGCTTGCTTCATCTCCCTAGGCTGGTCTCTCGTCTTCATCAGGTGATATGATCCGGCAGCCATAGGGACCCGGGGTCAAACGCTATGGAGAACACCCTCATGGCCATCCTCCCTCCCTAGCCCTGTAACCCTGGAACAGAACGTTGGCTGTGCAAAGCCGGAGAGCCCCTTTCCCTCTCTGGGCCTCAGTTCTCTACCTGCCAAATGGGAGACCCGATCCTGGTGGCCTCCCAAAGGGCTGGCAAGAGACGGGCACGGCAAAGCGCCTGGCAACCGGGCTGTCGTTATTTTTAACTTCGAGAACGAGGCTGACAGAGCAGGCGGGCGGCCTGAGGCCCCGCGAGGGTCCCCGCCCGCCGCGGCCCCGGAAAGCCCACCTTGGAGCGGTCGGTCCGCTCCTCCCACGGCTTGAAGACGCCGCGGCCGCTGCCCTCGCGGCTCTTCGTTGAGGCACCTGCAGCGCTCCAGGTCGATGCGCAAGTACAGGGCGTAGGCCAGGCCGCGCTGCTCGGGCGGCTCCTCTTGTTCGGCGGCGCAGCGGCAAACGCCCCCGCCGTGGCTGTGGCCATGCGACATGGCGACGCCGCCACCCGCGCGTCCCCTCGGCCCCGCCGCCGCGGCCGCCGTCGCCCACACCGCGCTCTCCCCGCTCCGGCCGCCAAGCGCGCCGCGCCCGCCGCGTCGTAAAAGGCGCCCCTGTGCCGCGCATGCGCCCGGGGAGAAGTGGGCGGGGCTCTGGGAGGCTTGGCCTTTGGCCCGCGCTTGCAGATGCCATGGGATTAATGTTGACTCTTTCAGTACTCGGGGCGGATGCTGTTGCTAGCGCAGCTTCACAGATGTGGAAACTGAAGGGCAGAGGGATGAAGCTGGTGTTCCGAGTAGATGGTGGGGTCGGGTTTCGAATCCTCCTTCCCCGTAGGCTAAAGTCTGTGCTCTTTTATTTTACCGCCAGCATTTTTGGGGAGCTGGCGGAGGAAAGCGTGCGCAATGATAGGGCCCCGAAGAGTAGGGAGCGCAGCATCATCGCTGGCTCACAGCTGCAGACTTCGGCGCTTAGAGCTCGCTAACCCACTTTCATAACAACTTTCTTCATAGTGGGCTTTTTGGACAGCCGGATCTGGAGACAAGTCCTGGGTCTGCTACTGACGGTGTGACACTCTGATTAAGTCATTTCCCCCATCGTGACACTTCATTTCCTCATCTGTAAAGTGGGAGTAATAATATCTGTTTCATAAGATCGCAGTGAGTATTAAATAATGCCCTTAAAGAACTCAGCATGGTGGCTGACACATGCTAAGAATTCAGTAGTTGAGTCAGATCTTGGCTCAACTCCAAGCACTGCCATTTGCTAACTGAGTGGCCTTGGGCAAGTGACAACCTCTCTGAGTCTCAGCCCCGTTTAAAGTGCAAAGATTGGGCTAGATGACCTTTAAGTCCCCTCCCCGTGTGATATTTTAGAGTAATTTTTTCTAACAGCTGGTTGTGATGCATTAATGGGTCTTAAAATCCACTTAGAGGATTGCGACCAGCATTCAAAAAATAGAATATGATAAAAAATTTACACGTTTTAAGTCTCAATTTATGAAACTTGTGTTTCAGTTTTGGGTCCATGTACTCAGGTGCAATGTAAAATGTTTTTCATATTGTGGGTTGAGGTCACAAGAATTGAAAGCCACTATTTAGAGTTGAAATGATTTCAGTTTCAGGATAGAATGCATCCTTACTCCTTGGCAGGGAAGGGAAACGACAGAGGATGTAGAGAGAGTTATGGGGTAGTCTGGCTATCCCCTGCCCTTTGCTTCTGGCTCTGGAGTGTCCAGACGAGACTGGGGCTGGTGAAATACAAACCAAAATATCTGTCTGCTCAAGTTCCATTCAGACATATTTTTGATGTCCTAGTTCAATTCTTTGTGAAATAGGCAAGCTTGGTTCTGGTTCAAAATAGCTCAATGTCATGAGTGATTCCTGCTTTCACATCACAGTTGCAGGCTTGGCACATGGTAAACACTTAGTAAGTACTTGTTTAATTCAGTGATACACTCAGTAGCCTTCCTTCGGAAAGACCACATCCCACTGCAGGACTAACACAGGCCTTACCTGGGAAATCTACTCACTTTTGGCTTCTTTCCTGTCATTTTCATCGCTGTCATCATTTACTGATTTGTTGAGAAGTATGTGCCAGATATTATGCTAAGGCACGTTATGTAGTTCGTCTCAATTATTTGTCACATGAACTTTAAGAGACAGGTGGTATTACCCAGTGTTACCTCCAATTTGAAGATGAGGAAAGCCAAGACTTAAAGAGGTGGATTAACTTGCCCAAGATCAGCTAAGGTTAGGAAGTAACCAGACTTTGAACACACCCTATAGTTTCCCGAAACAAAAGGTACACATGAGGTAAATATGTTGAATTAATTAGCTTATGCTATGTAACAAATCACCCCAGAACTTAAAGCTTTAAACAACAAGCATTTATTATTTCTCATGATTCTGTAGATTACCTGGGTATTTCTCTTTTCGGGACCACTTTGGCTTGTGCTGAATAATTTGGAATGGCCTCATTCACGTGTCTGGTTGTCAGCTGAGGGGATGGGGCCACATGTCCCCAGCAGGCTACCTGAGCTTAGTCACATACTGTCAATTCTGCAATGTCCCATGGTTCCACAGGTCAGCCATATTCAAAGTGTGAGGGAACTATGTAAGGGTGCAAATACCAGGGAGGGGACCTCACAAAAGGCTGGCTACCACACTACCGCATATGTTAAATGACCACTGAAAATGTCTTTATTCTTCTCTTATATATATATATATGTATTTTTTTTAAGGAAGATTGTCACTGAGCTAACATCTATGCCCATCTTCCTCTATTTTATGTGGGACGCTGCCACAGCATGGCTTGATGAGCAGTGCTAGGTCCACACCCAGGATCCGAACCTGCAAACCCCTGGCTGCTGAAGCAGAGCATGCAAACTTAACCACTATGCCACTGGGCTGGCCCCTTCTCTTATCTTTAATTGGTAATTTGGCTGAAGATAAAATTTTTTCAGAATTTTGAAGATATTGCTGTTTTCTTCTAGCTTTGAAAAGTACAATGCCGTTCTGAATCCTGATTCTGTGTATGGTTTCCCCCCTGCTCTCTTCCTGGTCACTAGTATTCTGAAATGTGATAATGTTGTGCTTTGTTGTGGCTCTTTTGCCTTTTATTGTGCTGGATACCTGATGGACCCTTTCAACTTAGAAACCCTGGAACAGAACGTGAGCATGCTGGTTAGGACATCTGCACACGGATGCAGAAAGCCCTTTGCAGGGACGCATATTTAGGGGCATGAAGAGAAAGGGGGTGGGGCTAGGGTCCTACTCTCTCCCTTTCACACTCTATTGCAGAGCTCAGGAGGCCCAGAAATGTGAATGTGGCCTTCCAGGTCATTGTGGAGGTTCATTTGTCAAGGTAGCAGAATAGACTGTACTTTATTTAACAGTTCCCTTAGCTCCATTTATAACTTCTTAAGTATGTCTTCATTTGTACCCTTGCCCTGATCCCACAAATATTAGGTATGACCTGCTGGACAAGTTGCTTAGCTTCCCTAAGCCTCAGATTTGTCATATATACAATGAGAATAATAAGAGTACCCCTAGTAGGGTTTTGTTATGAGATTCATATGAGATAATGCAGGGAAACTCTTTGGAACAACCTCTGGCGGGTAGGAAAAGGTTAAGCGGCTCTTACTGTTGCTGAGCAAGACTTTCAGCTCAGCGCCTCCGTCTGGTTATAGGAGAAACTGCAATTGCTAAGGGGGCTGGATTTGGAAGAAACCAACTGTTTGCAGGCTAACTTAGAGTAATGCCTTTCCCTCGGCTGACTCTGCCTGTCCCTGCTCTTGCACTCCTGTGTTGCAGGGATGTCTGAGGACAGATGGCAATTCTCAGACTTCTAGGACTACCCTGGAGCAGGTAGGAAAAGCTTCCATGTTTTTTCTTTCTCCTACTCCTAGGCTCCATCTGCAAACATTTCTGTAGCTCAAGGACTGCTGAATTTGTATCCATCTTCCCTTCTCTTCTGTCTCACGTAGGCTAGGAGAAGCAAACTGTTTTTCTGTTACTTTTGAATGCTTCTTTGTGGCCAACGGAAAGTATAGTAACAATAATAGCTAACAACCATATGGCACTAATAATGTGCCAAGCACTGTCTTGAGGGTTTTACTTATATTATTTTTTAATCTTCGTAATTGCAAGTGTCCTATTATTATCCTCATTTTATAGATGAGAAAACTGGGGCACAGAGAGGCTAAGTAACTTACCCAAGGTCACACAGCTGGTTAGTAGTGGAACTAGGATTTAAACCCAGGCAATAGGCTCCAGAGTCCATACTCTTAACCACGCTGGACCTTTTCCAAATATTAATTAACATTTACTGAGTACTTACTATGTGCCAAACTGAGACCCCCAGAGCTCAGGCTCTTAACTGCCATGCTGCACTTATGAGCTGGGTGACCTTGGACGAGTCATTTTCCTCAGAGCTTCAGTCATAACAGCAATCCTTTACTAAATGCCCCTTCCTTGTTGGATGTTTCACCTAGTTCATCATCAACGTCCTGGCTAACATGTCCTGAGCTCTTTCTGTGTGCCAGGCACTGTTCTAAGCACTTTGCATGTTTTAACTCATATGATGGCTTTGCAAGGGTGATGTATTTTTCTCATTTTTGGAGGAAGAAATGGAGACACAGAGAGGTTTAGTGACTTGCTCAGGGGCACACAGCTGGGAAGTGTGAGATTTGAAGCTGGGTGGCTGTGTGGATCACCTGAGAGTCCCAGCTGCCATGATTCCCTTTGGAGTCTTTGGTGCTGTTAGCAAATATTTCTAGTTCTCTGTGTCCAGGCACGTGGATGGATTGTGCTTCCCTGTCCCCTTGAATTTAGGTGCAGTCAATGAAATATGATGGATGTCACTTCTGGACGTAGCTTAGGGGCCAGCGCAACCTTCTTGTGCCTTGAAAATCTTAGCAGCACAGGGATGGTGTCTCCCTTAGCCTGGATCCCTGAGTGAGGGTGACATAGAGCAGAGCCCCCTCAGACCCACAGTAGACAAGCAGTGTGAGTGAGGAACAAACCTGTGTTGTTTTGAGCCACTGAGATTTGGGAATTGTTTCCGCGACATGACCGAGTCCAGGGTTCCTCAAACTCAGCACTATTGACATTTGGGGTCAGATAGTTCTTTGCTGTGAGGGGCTGTCCTGTGCGTCGTGGAATGTTTGACATTGTTTGCTAAGTGTCTCACTGGGGGCAAAATCACCCGCAGTTGAGAACTACTGTCCTAGCCCATCCTAATAGTCTGACTGTCCTGCCAGTCCTAAATACACCCTGTTGCGGCATCATTTCTTTGCTTTAACTTGCTCTTAGATTCTGCTAGTTTGAGGATAGTCGCATCATTCTTTATCCAGTTTCTATATCAGTGTTACACCAGCTTCAATAGACTTTTCCCTCTTTTTCTTTGCTTTGGAATGGTGTAAGGGCACTGGTCTTATCTGATCTTTGAGGTTGAAAAAATTCCCCTCTGAAACAGTCCTGGGCCTGGAGCCTTCTTGCAGGGGAGGCCCTATAACAACTTTCTCTATTTCTTCTGTGGCGATTAGTCTGTTTAGACTTGTCTATAGGAGTGAATTTGGGTAAGTTGTATTTGTCTGGACGATTATCCACTTCATATAGGTTTTCTGATATATCGCATATAGTTGGGGCACAGGGTTTTAAAAACTGGGAAATTTTACATAGAAATCTAGATTTCTGTCTTGTCTTTAAAACTCAGAAGATGTGGCGGCCACTCTGGGCCCTGCCTTCCACCTGGAAATGATCGGGTGGAGCTGTGGAAGTAGCTCTCGTTTTCTTTCTGTTCCCACCACGCCTCATTGTCTTACACCAAATTCCTGGTATTTGAGATTGTGAGCCCCGAGATAAGAGGAAATGAGGTAGAGGCTGCCTTTTTGATGGTTGTTAGGGGCTGTAGTATATGGGATCTGAAAGAATAGATAGGAGTCCAAAAACAGAAGAGTGGAACTAACCCGTCAGGGCAGCGGGGGCGAAGGGTTCACTTATCAGGAAGGACTCGCGGACCTCAAAATAGTTCTTAGCTTGTGACCCTAAAGCTTCAATTCCCATTGACAGGGAACAAAACTTTTCCTTTCATTCCACATTTAGAGGGAATGAAGGAAGGACACTAAAATTTATTGAGCCCCCTTTTTCTCATTGAAACCTTAGAAGAATTCCTGTGGGGTGTCATTATTCCCATTTTATAGATGAAGAAACTGAGGCTCAGAGAGGGGTCACAGAGCTAAAGAGTGGTGGAGCCGGGGGTGGAACCTGAGTGTGACTCATTCCAAAGCGCCTGCGTTGGTTTTCCACTGCACTAGGCATTCCCAAAGCAGGCTGCTCATCAAACTCATTGGGGAGGCCCCGAAAAAGTACACATTTCCAGATCCTACCTCTGACCTACTCCAACGGACGTGTGCAGTGGGGCCCAGAAATCTGTATCTTAAACAGTGACTTGTGCAGTCAGTCGATTGCTGTGTCCCCTGCTAGATGAAAGCCCCATGAAGGCAGGGGCCGTGTCCATCTTATTTAGTGACACAGAGAGGGCAACACAAGTATGTGCTGTGTGACTGAATGTCCAGCTTCCCAGCGCTGACCGTGGGCCAGCTGTGAAGAGCTTTTAAACTGTTTGTGGCAAATTCTCTGGAGCAGTTCTCAAACTTTAATGTACATTTTGAGGACTCCTTGGGTTTTTGGGGGTTTTTTTTAATGCACACTTCGGGACTCCAACTCCGGGATTCTATGCTTGAGAAACACAGGCACAGCTATGTGAAATTTTGATGGCTTGAACTTTCCTCGGAAGTTTCTGAGAAGGGTGGAGACAGTAGGCATCACAGAAAGAAAAGTCTGGGGCCTATGAAGACAAACTGCGTGTCTAACTATTTAGCCAAATAACCAGGGAGAGACTCAAGTGGATGCAGAACCCTCGTGGAGAAACCCTGTGAAGGGGACATCTGTCTGGGTGATAAGCCAGTAGAGGGTTCTTCTGGGCCTGGTTACGTGCAGCAGAGAGAAGACACCATTCTTAGAAATGATTAGGGCCTTGGCCCAGGCATCTTTTTGCATGGGGGGCCGGCTTTGCTCCAGAAGCCTAACGTCAGGTATGTGTGTTTGTATGAGATGGAAAATGTGACTGAGAACATGTGCTTGGAGTCAGGTCAACACACAGCACCGCTGCTCACCGATTGTGTGACCTTGGGCAAGTTCTTCATTTCCCTGCACTTCAGTTTTTAAAATGAGGCCATGACCACCTACGTTGTAGGACCATTGTGATAATCGAGATAAAGTCTATAAGCCAGAGTGGTGCGTGGCACACAGTAGGTGCATTACCAATGAGGTCAGCTACTCTTACCTGACCATGAGCACCAGAACGTGATTTGTGTTACTCTCTATCCCAGAGTGTAACACAGGTCCTGGCTCAGCAAATGCTGAATTAAGGGAAGAAGGCACAGACCCTGGATGAAGTCATCCTAGATGCCACGTTCCGTTAATTCAATGCTTAGTAATTTCTAACAGTGAGAATTAGATCCAGTAAAGAATTGGGAAGAGTAAGTCCAGACCATAAACCAAGAATGCCCTCTTCTGAGAGAGGAAAGGGAAATAAAGCCGCGTTGTTGGGAGATGTAGATCTGACGTAGAGTCCCACCCACTGGATGTAAGCCGGGGCTGAAACCCAGCCCTGGCTCCGTTCACGGGGCTGAAACTGCTGCAGCGCCGTCGGGGCCAACACAGCTGCTCCTTCTAAGTCCCTGCTGGCTCGATTCTTCTGCGTTAGTGTTCATTATGCTTTCACTAGGAAGCCATCGTAAGACTGAGCTCCTTCACATCCCCCGAAGAAATGACTGAAAGGTGCAGTAACATACATTTTGCAGTCAGAGAATCTGGGTTTCAGATCCTTTCCTTTGCCGCTCACTAGCTATGCAGCTTTGGCTGTTAATTCAGCCTCTGAGCCTCAGCTTCTAACTTAAAGGGGGTTTAACAGCTCAGTCCCAGGGTTCCAAGTATAAAAATGGGACGGTGCCTGGTCCCCACGAGGTGCTTGTTTTCATCTGAGTTTCCCCCCTCAGCTCACAGGGCTCCTCCCCGTGAGTCCCCATTTCCCGGTCCTGCCATGCTCCAGACAGAGACCCAGCCCTTTATGGCCCGGCCCAAGGATTGGAATCCCACCCAGGAGGCAGACATTTTGTGACCGACTTCCATTCTCTGACACAATAAGGAGAAGGGAAGAAAGACAACAGTACATGGGGTTTTTTGTTTTTTATTTAGACATGGAATTTTCCTTCCTTTTCATATAACTTATCTAATTAAAATATTCATCTTGGTAGTTACCACAAAAAAGTAACATAGAAAATTGTATTTACATTTTGGGACCAAAATACAAATGAAGAGCAGGATGATACCTTGCTCCTTTCCCTCCCACTTCCCGGAAAGAAAGAGAAAGCCCCAAAGAAACTGCTTATTACACCAAGGATCACAAAGGATTAATTTGTAATTTGGTGATCTGTATGTAGTGTAGCACAGAAAAAAAAAAAATTGCACAAGTTTTCACAAATGAGACCAAAGGTTCAACATCATCCTGTGTCTGCTCTGCAGCCATGTCAATAACCCAGGGCAGGAGGGCCTTTAGAAATTCAGTTTTTCCTCTTCCCTCCTCACTCTTCTCGCCAAGTCGCATCCCTGATGCAGACACTCTTGGAGGAGAAGGCAGGAAAGATGTGGCACTATGCAAACAGAGGTGATCAAAAATCTTTATGTGCCAAAAATGGGTAGTGATGTTGGGATGAACAAATACGTGTCCTTTCTTCCCTCCCGGCCTAAAGACTCCTAATAAAAGAAATTAAGTCATACACAACTGAACCTAAAAGAGGAAACACTGGGTTCAATGACAAAGACTTGAACACACAGCTAAGAGACAAATTCGAGATGCTGGGCACCTAGAGGGAGCTGATCTAGGCAACGATGTCTGGCACCTGCCCGAGGTTCATTTGGTTTCAGGGAGGAGGCTTCCCAGTATCAGATTTGGGGAGCAGGGTAGGGGTGGAATGGTAATACCGACAACCAAGAGAAATACTTTACCCAATTCAAAAATACAGCAAATTAAAACACAGCAATAGTTGTGTCCCATCACAACAGGCACCTGCGCAGCAACGCACACTGAACAATGCAGCCTTTGCTGTACAGATTTCCTGCGCTGCTCTGGAATCTTCCGTTGGCCTAACCGAGGTTTCCAGGATGATTGAAAACAGTGAGCTCCAGATTCTTGGCTTTCAGCGAACTTATTGCGGGGACTAACTGCCAAGCTCCTCAGGCTGTCACACTAACCGTGCCCTCAGTCTAATTGTCAGGTTTCTTAAGGATGGGCGCCTCAAATTTATAGCATCTGCTTCCACCTGGGTCACAATCAAGTGGGTTCCTGCTAGATCAGTGCTCTTCCACAGCCAAGAAGGGCAATGACACCGTCCTCCCAAACCTGACGGATGCCCTTGTGGTTCTCTCCCATCCGGATGCTACAGCTCACACACTTCCCCTCAGTTGGCCCTTCCCTCCAAATTCTGGCTTAAACACTCAAAAAGTAGTGAGAGTGTCTGCTACAAAACAAAGCAAATTGTGCTCTTCCAATCACATGATCTTACTTTTTAAAGAAAGGCAAAAACAAAGCCAATTTCCAACACAGCATCACACCTTTCAAAACCATCCACTTCTAGTGCAAGTCACAGGGAACAAGAGATGAAAGCGCTGTCTTTGAAAACTCCAAAGTTGTATTTGGGGGGCTACGAAGAGCCCTGCCATGTGTTTGTGTTTTTTCCCCACACTAGTGGGGAGAAGGAAAAAGAGGGGAGGAGAAAAGCCCTCAAGCTGTGAATCAGAAATTAGAAATGGCAGAAATGCTGAGGTTCTGTGCAAATCCATCTCTCAAGGTTCTGTGTCCTCTAGTGAGCCTCAAAAAACAGTGGGAACTGGCAAAAAGAATGGGGGAAAGACTCTAGAACTTTACAAATAACCTCCCTTAATAAATACTATTTGATGAGTAAGAACGAGATGCACCTGCATAGGAACTCAAAGCAACACTGAGCAGGGTCTCAGGGTGAGGGTCTAACCTGAACACTTCCTGTCTCCACGTCGAGGCTCCCCTCTAGGACAGGCGGCCCAGGACCCACACCTTGGCCCACGTGCAGCTGGCACCATGCAGGCTCTGGGGACGCCAGTCCTCCCTCTAGACCGGAGTCCACTCAGGAGAGCTGAACCGGGACCGGGGAATGGCTTTCACTAGGCTTCTGTCTAACTTTAATAAAGGGCCCTGAAAGGCTAAGTGTGTGGTAGAGGACCAAACACAATCAAACAAAAAAACCAAAAAAACCCTGGGGGTAATATAAATACAATCTGGGGACAATATTTATTAATTAAAACTATGTCTTATAGTTTACAAAGAAGCTAATTAACAACAAAAGTATAATTGACCTTAAAATCCTCAGTGAGACCGAGGCTTCACATCTTCTTCAGAATTCTGAAGGATTCTCCAGGCAGGGAGGCAGTGGCCGCAGCGCACGGGCGCGCAGGCGCGGCACCTGCGAACGGCACGGGATCTGGAGACCAAGAGGTTCCACACAGCAAAGACGCTGGTCTCCTCTGCAAGTTCCATTCCCCAGCCCCTGCTGTCCTTATATTCCTCGACCCAAACTCCATCTCCAAGGCAAGACCTCGGTTTATCGTCGGGAGAATCTGTTCTTGAAAGCTTTAATCGTCTTGGCCATCATTGGGGCAATTTCTGTGTAAAGAGAAATAAGGCAGTTGTTTCTGACTGGTGGCAGTTTAGACATATACCACCATTGGGTGTATGTCTCACTTGGTTGGGTGACAATCAGAGCCCAGCCCTGCACCACACTTGCGTCTCCACCGCCAGGCAAATGGATCCAAGTGACAGCTATCTGCTGACAGCAGGTAAAAGCAGCAACACAGGGCTGACGCTACCTGAGCACCCGCCAGGCCCGGAACAATCACTCTAACAACCCCATCAAGACTCGGAGAGACTGGCCAACTTGCCCCTGGTTGTACAGTAAGTGGCAGAACTGGAATTCAATCCTTGCCAGACTCGAAAGGCCACTCTGAGGCAAAATTTAACTCTGCCTTGCCAATATCCAAACCAGCAAAAAGCACCCCGCTCTGGCCCGTCTGTCCACTGTAGCAACAGGTCTAAGATGAGCTAAATGCAAATGCCACCCATGGAGGGCTAGCCTGCACTCTCAAGGGTTACTCTAAGCACAGCTAGGTCTTAAGCGAGGATTTCTACCTCCCTTGGGCCCTGAAGTGAATACAGAATAATGCTTTTCTTAAGTTAGGACACTCCCTTAGAATACTAGGGATAGTCTATGGTAGCAAAGGTAATAAAATACAAAATAGACCCAACTAGATATAAAAGATAACTACCTGAAAGCTGCAGTTATAAGGTTATAAAAACCTCAATTTGATGGACTGTCATTCAGCTGTAATAATGATAGTCCTGAACCTTAGAGAGAACCTCGTCTCTCCTGCCTGGAGAAACAAGTTTACGCTTAGGTTAAAAAAAGCAGAGTGCCAAGATGAATATTCACTCTGATCATTATTTAAAAGATACTGTGCATTATGAACAAAGCAGGGGAAGGGAGGCACTGACATTTAGACGAGCTACATGCAAGGTGTCATACGTGTGCTACATCTAATACACAAAATACGATGTGGCACTAATGACGTTGAAATACCTGAGTAGGAACCCCAAGTTACTCACTCTTCACAGTCGGTTTCCTAGGGTCATAGGAAACGGTGCTGCTGACCACAGGCGCCAAGTGGGCACTGCTGGTGCTCGGGCCCTTCGTAAGGCTGGCTCTTCGGGGCTGGCGTTAAAGCTGGTGGCTGCTGCCACTGCTGAGGGGAGCGTGGCTGCTTCCTGTGGGAGTACGGGGCTGGCTTAATCCTGTAACGCAGAACACAGCTGGTTAGCCTTGAGTAGGAGAAATCCGCCCCAGCAGTCTGAAGCTGGCCTGTTTGAGGAGGACTCGGCTGTGTGGCTTTGCCCGTGGACCCTAGTACCCCTAGATTCGGGCGGTGGCTCAGAGGGCACTAGCCCTTCAGAAGGAATGATAATCTCCACTAACTTCTCACTGTTTAGGTGTAAATCTGCATTCTGAAAATGCTAATATGACTTAAAGTCATGACAGTAATATGTTATTTGTTCAAATGGGGAAAAGGAAAGCATGCTTCCCCGAAGCCAGGGCCTGTTCTCCATGTGACCGGAACCCCCCGAGAGGCAGGAGGAATTATCTGGCCCACACTGCAGTCAAAGCAGCTGAGGCTCAGGGAGGTCAAGGTCGGCCTCCAGAACTCACTCCGCACCGCCGTGCTTTCACCCAAAAATAAACTGCTGGCTGCCTCTTAGGGCTGAATGACACGCCCCTGGGGCCTCTTCCCTAAGCGTGCAGAAACCATGGGGAGCAGAGATCGTACTTGATCTTCTCGGGCACAAGCGCTCCCCCTGTTCCAAACTTCTCCTGCCGTCTCCGAACATCGCGAGGTGGTTTGGCCACAGAGTTGACAAAGGCCATCTTTGCTTGTCGGCCTGTGGAGAAATATTGAGATCAATACCTGCCTTCTAGAGCAGAGACGGTATTTATTTTAATAATCTACACTACTAAGAGACAAAGGCTTTTTAAGTGCTCCCCAAAACTAGGGGATTATCAACCCTGAAAATGCCCCTGTAGGGTAGCACGGGTGGTGGCAGGAGAAGCACCCCACCCCTGCCCCCTTCGGCAAATACAAGAGAGATTTAGGGCCCCCGAGGCCCTGCGGCTCTTCCTCTTACCTTTGGGCTTATTCGCGTGTGCGGATCGGATGTTCTTCGTCAGCAGTCGTAGCCGCTGCTCTCGGGCATCCTGGAGCCGCAGGTACATCTCCCGCCATGACTCATACTCCTCTGGCCTTTCTTCCTTAAAGTCTCGGTGACAATGAATTTTCCATAATTGATCTGTTTCTTCAATTAATACCTAAAATCAGAACCGGGACATCATTTATATGCAAGCACGGTTACACATCTCTTTTCTATCCTTAATCACCTAGGCATGACCAGGTTCCTAATGATTTTTTGGTCCTCATAGTATAGTGTTATACTAAAATACCACAGTTCTAGAAAAAAATCAGATCACTAAATTAAAACAATGCTAAGTGTGAGGCATTGTACTAGCTGCTTTGGGGCATTGTGAGGGGAGAGGAGACAACAGAAAAACTAGTTTAAGATCAGTTTTTCCTTTAGAAATCCAGTGAAGGGCAGAAGTGGGAGGAGGTAAAGTCCAGGGCATTTCCCCAGCACTGCCCTCAGCTGGACTGTCAAGGGGGCCAGCGAAGAAGGAGGGTCAGTTACAGATCCCCCCGAATCAGAGAGACAGCTAATGCAATCAAGTGAGTATACTGCAGCGTTACAGAGGGATTTCTGGCTACATCTAGATGTCTCTAGAGACACCCAGCCAATCTGTGCTCTCTTCTGTTCACCGGACACCTGTGTGTCAACACAAAGCTCGGTTCATGCCCCAGATCCCAGGGGCTGTGCTGCCAGAATTCTCCCTGACCTCTGTGATGACCAGGCAAGCTCAAGGGACGAGCGGGAAGTATGTTTCACTCCCTTTGAATCCCACCTTGATTCCAGCCCAAGAGGCCCACTTAAGATGCCAGGAGTAGGTGCTGAAAAGATGCTTGTTTAAAGGCCCACTGGCAAACCAAACATGCCCAGAACAGTGGCCCAACCGCTGGCCTGCCCTGCAGCTGCAACAGCTTCACAGAGACAAAGCCATTCCTGGAGACACAAGCCAGAAAACTGGGGTCTTCCCACCCAAACAGGACACTCACGTGATTGTATTCCTCAATGCGATACAGCTGATCAGGCGTACACCTCTCCAAAACGGGTTCAAGAAGAGAATACGGGACACCTCCCACTTCAAAGATCGCTGCAAGAGAATCAAAGGTGACAGCAGTGAGGAGCGGCTGAGGCCCCAGTGCCACAACATGCTTGAGAAAGGAGGGGGGTGTGAGGCTTACAGTCGATGTTGTTCTTAAGTACCCGGATGCACTGCTGGTGCAAGGTCATCATTTTGGGGAGGTAGGCACACTTGGAACCGGAATACACCTGCATCTTAGAATTCATTCTCCGCCCAGTGAATCCAGCTTCTTCCTCTTCCTGGGGTGATGAGAGGGCTGTAAGGCAAGAAAAGCAGAATGTAAGTCACAAAAGGCACTAAGGAACACAGTGAAAACTCTCCTTCCCACCCCATTTCTCAGGCTCCCAGTTCCCTTTCTCAAAGGCAACCAGTGCTACCAGCCTCTTGTGTATCCTTCCAGAGAGCTGATGCGAGAATAAGCAAATATGTATTTTATTCCTTTTTAACCAATTAATAACATACTCACTATCATTGTTTTTCCGTTACCACATTGTAGAAATCATCCCATGTCAGCACATAGACTTCGCACGTTTTCGCAGCCCACAGGATGCCACTGTGTGGGTGAACCGTGACTTATCTGTCAGCCTCTGGCAGAGGGACACGTATATGGCTTCTATTGCTTTTGCTATTAAAACTAGACTTTTTTTTAAGATAAAAAGCTCATGTAGAACATACAGAATAAAGGGCTACTAGTAAGCAGCCGCTAAGATTTATTGAACTTCACTATGTGAAGAAACCTGGAGCTAAGAGCTTTACCAGGATTATCACTTTTAATCCACTTAACAGCCCTATGAGACACACACCGTTATTTTTATTGCCATTTACGGAATACAAAACTGAAGTCCAAGGAAATTAAGGTATTACCCAAGTTCACATAACTTGTAGAGCCAGAGCCGGGATTCAAACCCAAGCCATGCAACTCTAGAGCCTGCGTGATGAGGAAATGCATCCAAATCTGATGGCAGATCATGAATGAATTTTAAAAATCTTTTTCCATTTAAAAAATGAAAATTACCTTTTCGCTTTGGTTGGAAGGAGGCTATCAAGTCGAGGGAAGGAAGTGGACGGTAATTGGCCTGTATCACGGGCAAGGGGAGGTCGGGCAACGCCTCGGTGGGGACCTGCAAAGAGACCAGTGACTGGAGAGCTCCTTTCTGCCAGCACAGCTCTCCTCCCTACAGTCAGTTCCCAGCAGTGTGGACGGGGCAGGGGACTTCCCAGGCGGCCCCAGGCTGGAGGAGGGGTGGCAGCCATGTCTCACAGCACCTGAGTCAGGAAATACACATAGATGGGCCCAGCACAACGGGACACCTCAGAGAATACTTATCTTGGGTACTACCTACCCCGGCAGCTAGAGGCCCAGAGGAAATTACTTCAAACTGAAGTTCAACAGGCCACTAAAAGCCAGCCAAGCAAAACAGCAGCAGGGTGGGTCCGGGGAGCCCTGCGGGGCCAGCGGCCGGGAACGGGAAGCCACCAAGGGGCGGAAGGCTTACCTTTCTCAGCTTGGCTGCGTCAGCCCCAGCCAGCTGAAGCTTCTCTGACTTGTTTTCGTGCCCCTTAGGTAATTTCTGAACCGAGTCCAAGTTTTTACTAGTGCTTTTCGAATCGTTTTTTTTAAGTCCTTTTTCTCCAAGAGCCGTGGCTGAAGTTTTCACAATCTTTTTCTTTTTCTTCCGGGGCTGGTCATAGCTGAGGTATGACTCAAAAGACATGGTGGGCTGCTCAAACTCGTCATCCGCGTCTGCCTCCTCAGCTTTAGGGAGGGAGCCCACTGACTTTCTATCTGAATGAGCCGTTTTCACTTTCCCCTCTTGAGTCTTTAGGTTGTTAGAAACCTTCTCTTTCACCTTGGGCAACAGGTCTCCTGCCCCCTTCCCCGCGTCTAAGCTGTCTACGCCGGGCTTGTTTTTGTCGGATCTGGTTTTCTCCGAGTCTCTGTGCTTTGGTCTTTTCACGTGGTTGTCTGAAGCCGCCTCCGAGGCGGGCAGACCCTTCTTCTTGGTGCCGCCCTCCCTCTCCTTCTCCTTCCTCACCCCACTCGAGGGCGGCTTCTCTCTCGAGCTGTCCCCGGAGGGCGGCCTCCGTGTCTCCTCTTTGGAGACGGCCTTGTGGGACTTCTCTCTGCTCAGGGACGACTTCTCATCTCCCCTGGCATCCACGGGACATTTTTCTCTGTGGGAAGATTTGTGCTCCTTGTTCTGACTCATGACCCCTTTGCCCTGGGGTTCGCCCAGGTGTCGTTCTTGACTGACTCCTAGTCTGTCATGAAAGGCATTACTGTGGCCTTTTCCGGGCTTCTGGTGTGGGACAAAGGGCTCATGGTCCTCCTCCGGGGATCTGTAATGGTCCACGGACATCTGATGAGGACTGGCAGACGACGGAGGGGACTGGACGTGGCCATAGTCAGATGATTCGTGGTCTGAAGAGTAGACTGGCGAGGCTCTGCGGCACCTCTTTCTCTCGTCTCTCCTCTCGTGACTGTGAGACACTTTGTGAGGTCTCTCGAACTCCGAGAGTTTTCTGTGTTTTTTCTGTCTGTGATCCGGACTATAGGACTGGCTACTGGAGGCTTTCCAGTTTTCTGGGTAGTCCTCTTCCATCTCCTCCTCCTTCTGAAGGGCGTCCCTCGGGCGCTTTCGGGAACTGCTCTTCTCATAGTCCTGTTCGTCAGGCTCAGTGTTCCTAAAATAAAAGAAAAAGCAGACAAAGCAGATATAAATCTCACTGTAATCCTTACTCAGAGGACAAAATCACAGAACCTGAACTCGCAAAAGAGATGAAGAGGATGCAGAGTTAGAAACTAGGTTCTTGGGAAAAAGGAAAATGAGTGCTGCTCAAAGATACTCGACTAAGTTTTCAAAGTGGGAAAACACAAATATTCAATAAGTGGAAAATGACGAATTTAACTGGAGGATACAAAGAAGATCAAATAGCTTGTGGCCCTGAAAATACCTTAAATATTTTTCAACATGGGGACACAGTTAACTTGTTACATAAAAAACAGGCTGTTATTTATACAGTTTGTTCACAACCATATAAAAATGTCTTTGAAGAAGAGGGTAGAAAGAAACATGCCAAAATGTTAATAATGCTTCTCTTTGGAATTACATGAAATTTTTATTATTTCTATTTTTTAATATTTTCTAATATTCTATAGTGATCATAGATTATTATATTTTTTTTTTGGTGAGGAAGACTGGCCCTGAGCTAACACCTGTTGCCAATCTTCCTCTTTTTTGCTTGAGGAAGACTGTCCCTCACTCAACATCTATGCCAATCCTCCTGTACTTTATACATGGGATGCTGCCACAGCAAGGCTTGATGAGCAGTATATAGGCCTGTGCCCACGATCCAAACCCGTGAACCCTGGGCTGCCAAAGTAGAGTGTGCGAACTTAACCACTATGCCACTGGGCCAGCCCCAAACACAGATTATTTTTATAATAATAAGACAAAATAAATATTTTAAATATGAAGGCAAAGAAAGAATAATAAAGAAAAACTTTTCTGTCTGCAAACACTCTGAGTACCAGATTTAACCATGAAGTTGAACAAACCTACAGAGTAAATGTCCTTACCGTTCCACAGGAACCAACTTCTTCCACTGGGCCACTAAGTTTCTGGCAAAGTTTCCAACGTGCTCGTGTTTTCGCAGGCTATTTACTGTTTTCCCAACACCAGTTTCCTACAGATTTGATAAAGGAATTGTTAGAAGGTTGCAGAACAAGGTTCACAATTTTCTAAAGAAATAAGGCCTCTTGCTTTGAGAAACTCAACATATCAATACTTCCTTCCTGAAACATACCTTGCAAGTCTCAATACAAAATTACTTTGTGCCTATGCCCCAAACCTCTGATGACACACAGTAGCAAAGCATACCAGATTCAGAAGAGGAAAACACTGAATTAAAAAGCTTCTAGGGGCCGGCCTGGTGGTGCACATTCCACTTCGGCGGCCTGGGGTTCGCCGGTTCGGATCTTGGGTGCGGACATGGCACCGCTTGGCACGCCATGCTGTGGTGGGCGTCCCACATATAACATAGAGGAAGATGGGCACAGATGTTAGCTCAGGGCCAGTCTTCCTCAGCAAAAAGAGGAAGATTGGCAGTAGTTAGCTCAGGGCTGATCTTCCTCAAAAAAAAAAAAAGCCTCTAAACCTTTAACAGTAATGACAAGAGTGATAATGGCAGATGCCAGGCACTGAGCTAAGAGCTTTGCATACAGTGCATCAATCCTTACAACAACTCTGTGAGGCAGGAATCTGCCCCATTGCACAAAAAAAGAACAACCTAAAGTCACAGAACTTGGATTTGAATCCAGGACTAGTTGATGACAAAGTCAATCTTCTTCTAATTTTTTTTTTAAATTTTATTTTTTCCTTTTTCTCCCCAAAGCCCCCCAGTAAATAGTTGTCTATTCTTCGTTGTGCGTCCTTCTAGTTGTGGCATGTGGGACGCCGCCTCAGCATGGTTTGATGAGCAGTGCCATGTCCGCGCCCAGGATTCGAACCAATGAAACACTGGGCCACCTGCAGCGGAGTGCGTGAACCTAACCACTCGGCCATGGGGCCAGCCTGTTCTTCTAATTTTTAGAAAAATTTTTTGCCATAAAATTCATGTAACATAAAATTCAGCATTTTAACCATTTTAAAGTGTATAGTTAGTGGTTTCCAAATGATTACAATACTGTGCAACCATCACCATTAATACCAAACATTTCCATCACCCTAAAAAGAAACCCTGTTCTTCTCAATTCCCCCAGCCCCTGGCAACCACTAATCTACTTTCTATCTATGGATCTGCCTATTCTGACATTTCCCATAAATAGAACCATACAATAATGTGGCCTTATGTCTGGTTTCTTTCACTTCCAAAGCCCATGCTCTTAATCTGACTGTCCAATCTCTCCCAGTGGGGAGGGGATGGGATATAGTCATATAATGTCTAAAGTTACACAGTCCTTACCGCAAGAATGTCTACTGTAATAGGCAAGGCAGAGAGTTTCTTCAAATATTTCAATAGCTGCAGAGAAAATAAAATGAACATTAATTTCTACAAAATCATAATTATTTGCTGGAAGAAATAAGAATATTATCTGACAGTGAAGTGCTTACTCAGTTCTAAGTGTTATACAGGACTAAGTATGATTATTACCCTATTTTACAAGTGTGAAAACAAGGTCAGGAAAGTTAAGTTACTTGCCCCAGGATGCAAATAGGGCAGGATTCACTCAGGTCTGTGGCTTTAGATTCCGTGCTTTTAACCACTATGCTACACCAAAGGGGAAATAAGACTTAGAGAAGAGAATCAAACCTGCCAACTCTAATAAAAGTCATCAGCAACTATAGTCTTGCCCCAGTTTTGAGAGAGAATTTCTGAGAAAGGTACCAACTTTAGGAAAATTACCCATAGACCTGGCACAGAGGAAAGTAAAAAGGAGATGAGGTCTCTACAGGAAAAAGAGCATCGTGTTTCCAGGAAGAGTCCCAGTGTTTAACAGAATTGGTTTTTGGACAGAAGTGGGAAGCCAAGACCAATTTCAAGTTGCCAGAAGCAGAGCTTTGCTGTTGCAAATGGTGAACACAAAATGTCTGGGTAGATTAGAAAAGCGATCTGGGTTTGGCCACATTTCCCTTCTGTAGTCTCTAAAACTAGGTCAAAATCAGGATAGAAGGGCTGTTAAGACAGAGTTCCGGAGTTAGAGACAGGCTTCAGTTTGGCTCTGTCGCCTCCTTCCCTGGTGATCTTGTGCAAGCCGGTGACCTCTTTGAACCTCAGTTACTTCATCTGCACAGTAGGAACTGGACCCTGTCTCTACTGCACAAGCTGTGAGGATTCACTGAGACAAACCATGCGCATCCTTAGCCATAGTGCCTGGAACACTCAAAAAGCTCAATAAATGCCTATGATTAATCATTTCATTCATCAACTGACAGCTCTTTAAATGTCTACCCTTGATCCTCAAGCACGTATTCCCCAGCCAATTCCTACTTGCTCCATTTCTACCCAGAGCACGACTGGCTATGCCTTTCTTTAGATGTTTATGTGGACATAAAGATACTGACCGTCCGAGAAGGGCTGCCAAGTAGAAGCAGTTCAAAACAGGTAACTGTGACTACCTTTACATTTAAACATTAGATAACAAGATCTGTTCTTTTTCCATGTGTAGCCCAGGCTATAATTAGCGTGTCATATTGCTATTAGGTGGAGTAGTAAGTATGCTTTTCTGGTCATTCTACTTCAATAATTACTGAACGTGGTCGCTAGGCAGAGCAATTGGATCAAAGTGATAATCTTGTTTGACTGGGAACAAATGAGAAGCCAAGTGGTGTACCTAGGGAGCTTCACCTTCAGAGTTGAGTGAAAATTACCCTCCACTTCAAATCCGATCACCATTATCCAACTCAGGAGGAAGTTTATGTGAATTTCTTGTCACCCAAGCTACGGGTGCGAAGATTAATGCCAATTCCTTTTCTTAAAGGAAAATTTAGAATCACTGTAAAGGTTAAAAACAGGTTGTCTCCCCTAATGTCATTCCCTGGAAGGCATTTATATACCACCTACTGTGTGTCAACTACTATACTAAGTTCTTACATGTGTTACTTCATTTCGTCCTCATTAAACAACCCTATAAAGTGGATATTATTCTCCCCATTTTACAGATATTGAAATCGAGCTCAGTGAGGTTAGGTCATTTGCCTAACGAGCTAGTAAGTCGAGAGTGTCTACCACAGCACGTACTACAAAGCCAGGAGAAACATCCAACATGACCCTGTCCTTATAAACTAGGAAAAGAAAACAGAGCAGTAGCTCATGTGCCTCTTAGCATGCCTAAACAGAGCAGAAGAGCTCCTCCTCTGTATTAGCTTGTTAGACAGTTTACAGTCCATAAAGTAAAGGAGGTCACCATGGGGACAAAGAGTCCCAGGACCTCTACAAAGTCAACATATAAGGATGGGTCAGAAGTCACTGAGGCTGTGTTCATCTCAGAGCCTAGCACTAACTGGAAGTGCGCATGCTGCCTTCCTGCTTTGATTTGGGTTAAAAGGGGCAATTTAAAAGCAGACAAAACTAAAACCCTGGGGATCTTCAAACTGATTTAGCCCAACATAAAAGAAAAAGGGCTTCAGAGCCCCTCTATTTTCAATGAGGTTCAAGAAAGAAGAAAGCAATAACAAGGTAAAAGCATTTGGGCATCCTCAGATAGATGGAAACTTGCTGTTGTCAAACCAAGGGACCAATTGTAGAGTTTGCAAGAAGTGATAACAGGTTATGAGAAATGTCAAACATTTGCACATACATGCTTTGGAATCTCGGTTGTCCTTTGCACACTCCTTCAACCCAAAGAGCAAAAGATGTTCGTAATGTGGACCCCTCATTCTCCACTTTGCCATCCAACTGTGTTCTTGGTAGTTTTCACATTCAAAATGTAACTCAGGACAGGTAACTTTACGAGCAATGAAAATTGTTTCCAATTTAATAATAGGAACCAAGTGACCCTGGTCAGCCTGACACCTTTTCCCCAAGTAAGCCTAGCTCATACACAGATGGACTTACAGCGAAAACAGCGTGACAGTTTCAACACCAATGTTTAATACCAGAAAAATCCATGAACGTAGGTGTGGAATCAACCCTTTGGCTAATAATGGTTTGAAATCAAGATTTACTTGCAGATTCAGTACTGCTATATAATCATCTTGCAATTTCAAGAACAACCTGTAGGAGCTTGTTGGGTTAACAGAAGGTTGAGAAGAAGGCCAGTGTGCCAGCTTGCAGTTTCCCCTTTGCAGTTAGCTCATTTCTGAATGCGAACTATTGTGCTCTTTGCAAAAATAACCTCTCAACATTCTCTCATCTTCATAGTGCTTACTTCATAATGCAAAGCCACAAGTTAAGAGTAATTTTCTATATGGGAAGAGAAAGCCCAAATACTCACAATAATCACTAATAGTTCAAGTAGGAAGAAAAGCCAAACAAATCTTTTCCTAATTTGAAATTTCATGCATATCAACTACTAGGAAAGCTACTTCAAAATCTGAAAGGAAAAATGACAATAGATACTACATGCTGCATTTGTTTTTAACCTCATAGAAATAAAGACCAAATCGGTAGAGGATTTACATAATATTGCTTTAAGGTTTTAAAAATCAGTCACAAACCTACGAAGTTTAGGAAACCAACTAGTACTCAGGAATAATGACCATTTATTACATGTCCACAAAGGATTATTGTAAAAAGAAACTCGTAAATATTCCTGGCTACTAGGTTCTGAAGCCACAATAGAAAATATAACACAAAGCAGTTGAAAGCATTTAAGTTTTCACAGATTTAAAACTAAAATGGCTTCCTGAAGAAGTGGACCTTTGAGCTTGGTATACATGAGAAGAGTTAAAAAGTGGTCTGATGGTTGAGAGGCTGTGTGCCAGCCCTGTAGAAAATGAAGGGGGAAACCCCTCACCCTATGAAAGGGCTGGGGAATACGTGAAAAGAAAGGGGCCCCTCAAGAAAAATTGTAGAGTGGCAATTAGTAGCTACTGAGCATGTCCTATGAGCCTGGCGCTTCCTCTTTTCAGTTTCGTCCTGGGAAGAAGCAGGTGAGGGAACAGGCTCAGCAAGAAACGTCCCCCACGTCCACGGCCGGCAAACGGATCAGAACCCAAACCTCCGCCAACGCTTCATCCCCGCTGCCACCCTGGATGACTTCCTCTTCACACGGCGCCCCGGGGCTGCAGAGCCAACTCTCGGGAACTGTGCGCTCGAGCCAGAACGCTGACGGGGAATGTCAAAGACCCTAAGTGTCTTCATCGCTGTATTTCAATTTTGAAAAAAAATCCAACACCCCCAAGACGCTCTCCCAGCCACCAGGAAGCTGGATAACAGAGAGCCGGACGGGAAGAAGAATGCATTGAACTTAAGAAAACAGTTAAAGCAAAACTAGCTGAGCACCATTAAAAATGGTTGCCCATCCCTCGCAGCGACGAGAGAGGGTAGCGCTCACCTTTCTCTCAAGGCCAGATGGAAATCCGGCCGCAACTTCTAATTTTGTTTTTCTCCCGACTGCGTCCTAAGTTGTGAGGGGCGCACAGAGCGAGGCGGCGCGGGGTTCATTTTGTTTTGCTGGGAGAGGGCTTTCCGGGGAAGGCGAGGAGGCCCACGTTCCACCGCGGAGCCGGAAAGTCCCGGAGCGTCTGGAGGCGGCGCAGGAGCAGCCGCCGCGCCGCGCGCACCCCGCGCCGCAGGACCGTCCCCGCCGCCCGATCGCGCCCGCAGACGCCGGGACGGCAGAGCCGGGGCCGCGCTCCGGGGCACCGCGGCGCTGGCACGCGGAGCCGCCCGCCGTCCCTCCCACCGCAGGCCGCGCGCCGCCCGCCGCCCCGGCTCCGAGCCCCGCCGGCCGGGCCGGGCCGCGACCGTTAGGGGGCCGCGCCGCGCCCAACGCCCGCCGCTCACCTTCTTCGGGTCCGGGTTGGCGGCCAGGCGCGCCTGCAGCTTCTCCACCACTTGGAGCGCCGACTCCGCCGCCATCGCTGTCACTGGCGCGGCCTCCTCGCCGGAACTGGGCTCGCGTCGCGTCCTCGGGCCGCGGCTCCGCCCTCCGGGCCTCCCCGGCGGAGACGGAAGCGCGACCGGCCCCTTCCGGGCTCGGCGGGCGCGGGGCGGGGGCTGGGGGGCCCCTCCCCCGGGACGGCGCGGTGCGCCCCGAGGGGCCGCTGGGGCCGCGCGCTCCGCGCCCTGCAGCTGGGCAGCCCGGGCCGGGAGGGCCTCCGCGGCGTCTCGGCGCCGGCCCCCGGCCTTGGAAAGCCTGACGCCCCCTCCCGCCCGGGGCTGCGAGCACGCCCCGCGGAGCACCCGTCCGCGGTGCAGGCCCGGCCGCCAATCGGGATCCGCGGGGTAACGACGGCGCCCGGCCCGGGTCGAGAGCACGAAGCGCCAGTGGTCGGGCTATTTTGATGTTACCCTCAGTACAACCCAATGAAACGAGTTCTATGATCCCCATTTTACAGACGAGGAAACTGAGGCTCAGGGAGACCAACTCAACTTGCATGTGGTCACATAACAGCAAAGAAGCGAAGCTGGAATTTGAATCTAAAAAGTCTAGGTCCCCTGTGAGTGTGCATCTTTGAATAAGGTCGAGGAATGGAACCCCAGAGAGAAAGAGATTTGTCAAAAGTCAAAACAGTTTAACGACATGAGATAATAGTCGGTGTGTCTCATTTCCCCCCCAAATACTGTCTGGTACATAGGCACCAAGCAAATATTTATTGAATGAATGAATGAATGAATGGCTATTTCCTCTGAAATTGGGCCTGAATTCAGTACAGCCTGAGTCAGACCAGCCCAAGACACCATCTTGAGGGCCCTATCCTCATGCTAGAAGCACTAAATTTTACTGTTACTATTATTGCTATTAAAAAGAACTAAACCATTGAGAAGTGACTTAAAATAGTAGCATTAATTACATCTCATGTGATGAGATTAGATCCTAATCTGATCTCCAGCAGCAACTTGGCAACGTACCTAACCTCACCTGTCACCAAAGCGGAAAAGCCCAGAGGCTCTTCCAGGTCCCGGCTCTGGAAAAAGAAAAAGAAACTTCACATGAATTATTTGCTCGAATGAGCTTTCATTCCTTGGCTAGCTGAGAAGCCTCCCTGCTTTGTTCCCACCCCTCTGCTTGGTGCCCCTCCTTTCAAAACGGACCTCTTTCAGGGTGTAGATAAATTGTCAATTTATTCTTCTGTCTTGCCACTGGGCTGTTTGTTTATCAAGTGCAGTGACCAACGGATCCAACTTTAAATCTCTCTGCCCAGCACGATACAGCCGATAAAATCAGCACTGGGTAAAAAGTCCACACAAGATTAATGACCCCCCAGCTGGGGCCCTAAGACTCAGCTGTGGGTGCAATGGAGGAGGCATCGCCCTGGTGTGAGGAGGCTTGGATTCCAGTCCCTGGCCCATAAAGTCTCCCTCCTTCTGCACAGCAAATGCTTACTACACTTTAAATTCCTTCCATTTTGAAAATGTAGCATTGGTGTAATAGAAAACAGGCCGATTCTTGAAGCAAGAATTGCTGACTAACTGACCTGGCATATACTCAGGACACTGGAACATTTTGCGCATGTTACCCAGGGAGATATTAACAATCAGAATGAAAAGAAATAATGCATGTTGCTGGGGGCTACTGGAGAGGGTGCTCCCCACCCTGCCACCCCATCTATGTCAGCCTGAGTCAGGTTTACCTACAAAGTAAAGAACTCTTACACGTGAATATATGAATACTTCTCTGATCAGTTCATTATGTATGTGTCATTCTGATTAAAAACAAAGTTTTGAACCAGTTCTAAAAATGGTACTCTGTCTGTGTTCACTAAGGGATTTCCATTGCACTCCGTGGTTTACACAAGATGTTCAACACCAGAATGAGTTCCCTAAGGTCACAGGCTGTTTTCTCCATCTTGGATCAGTAATATCTAGCACACGGGTGACATTTCATGAAGGTCTGTTGAAAACTGAGCTAAATATTACTTACTTAAGGCTAGCCCAGAGTATCATCTGAAACCTTGAGGGGGACTCTCTAGGTCTCTTAACCAGCACTTTAGAGCCACCTGTGAGAAGAATGAAGAGACCCATCTTATTCTGCTCAGAAGGCATGTGTAAGGCTAGCCTAGGGAAGAAAGATGGCCAGGGAGGCTCTCATCTTCTGCTATGCACACTTTTGAGTTTTTGCAACAAGTATGATCTACTTTTATAATGAAAATAACCTAAAGGTATTTTAACTTTGGAAAAGAGCAATCCCAGGCTGGCTGGTGCTAGAGTCATTTAAAACACTGAAAGACAAGTGAAAAAACAAAAAACACCAACCATCTTGTCCTCAATAGTGACGGAAGTCCTTGTTGCCTGTCATGCAATGGGGGAGTGAGATTCTGTGGGCTGGACAGTATGTTGAGTGAGGAATACTGGTGGGTGGAGGGCTCGCCCTTGGACCTCTCCTGGCCTGGGCTCAGCCGCTCCTCTATCCTACCAAGTAGGCAGGATCTAAGGTTGGTTGGATGGTAGGTGTAAAGAACAGAGGGTTGGGGCTCAGTGATAACCTGAGTTCCAAACCCCAACTCTACCAGTGCTAACTATGGCTCCTGGTCAAGTCACCTAAAATGGCTGAAATTGTTTCCTCCTACTTCATATATTTCTTGTGAGGCTTATAATATGTTATGTTAAACACTGGCATACAGTAGGTATTTTTTTTCTCCCCAAAGCCCCCAGTAGATACTTGTATATTCTAGTTGTAGGCATTTTAATTCTTCTGTGTGGGATGCCACCACAGCACGGCTTGATGAGCAGTGTGTAGGTCTGCACCCAGAATCTAAACTAGTGAACCCGGGGCTGCTGAAGCGGGGCACATGAACTTAACCACTTGGCCACAGGGCTGGCCCCCAGTAGGTATTTTTTTAAAAGCAGCAATTATCAGGGAAAATTCATTGCCTTGGTAAAGAGAATATTGTGTTCTGCTCTAAAGGGGAACATAAAACCCTCCATCTGGGCAGTTTTGTTCTGCACAGTTGTAGCCACTGTTCTCTTCCCCGGTGGGCTCATTTTTCTGAATTGACTACATTCATCTTTGTTTCACATCCTTCAAACATGCTCAGCTGGTTATTTACTTAGGGATGACATCTTTCTGGGTTTCAAAGGCTCAATTTGCCCTCCTCAAATAGAGTAATACAAGTGGAGACTGCCAGCTCCAGGGAATGGTGTCTGAGGTTCAAAATCCACACCTTTTATAGACTGCCTTGACATTGGACCAAATTCTCCACTAACAACTTAAGTATATCAGGCCAGAAAACCCCCTGAGGCCCTTTGGCTAAGGGGGCGGCTGCAGCATTCTATGCAGCCCATGGAGAGCGGCTGCTGAGAATCTGTACTTACCAGGAAAACAAGCTTCCATAAAAACCAAAAAGTAACAGGTATACACTTTGATACTTTTATACTCCATGAATTTATATAAATTGTATCTAGCTAGTAACAGAAACACTTTCCCTTAGCTCTTTGTTTTATTTTTGTTACATTTATCACAGTTTGAAATTATCTTATTTAGTGGTTCCTGTTTTTACAGTCCCTTCCCGATATGTAAGCTCCATGAGGCATCACTGTCGCTAAACAGTACCTAGAACACAGTAGGCACTCAATAAATGTTGACGGAGGTGGATGAAAGAGCTACCTCACAGCATTGTTGTGGGGATTAAAGGAGACTGTGTATGAACACACCTGGCACAGTGTGATCAGCCAATCCTGTTAGTTTAACTAATCCTAACTACATATTTTATAGATAAGGACATTGGTGCTTAGGAAATTTAAGTGACACCATGCCCTCGGCCCCAGAAACTGAGTGTGGTTGTGGCCTTTGTTGAGAATGCCCTTGGAAGGAAGTTGTTAGAAAAAGTGTGAGCTAAAGGCAGCTAGCCTGGAACTGATGGGGCCAGACGGGAAAGAGAAAGAAAGGGGAGGAGGAGAGAGGAAGATGGAGAGGTCGATTGATTGCATTAAGTTCTGGAACTGACTAAATCTTCTCCCCCGAGTGTTAGCAGGGGTCTATGAACCCTCTGAGTTTGAATGCCAACAGATTACAAATTCTCAGAGAGGTCTGTGTCTCCCTCCCTCTCTTTAGGAAGAAAGAAAAAATTAATACCTCCCGGGTTATGTAGAGAATATTAAGAAAGCAGCCCCACAGCAGCATCGGGAAGGACAGCTGCTGCTTGCCTGAAGAGCGGCTTCTAGGGCGCCCAGCTCTGCGCTACCTTTATGTGCATCCTCTCTCCACCTTCCAACCATCTCATGAGGCATTTTAAGGATGGAGAACCCGAGGCTCAGAGAGGCTGAGCAACTAGCTCAAATGCAGCAAGTTACAAGTCTAAAACGTGAACCAAGGTCTGCTCAGCTCCAAAGTCCACACTGGCCACACACCACCCCTCCTGCACCCCTGAGACTCACCACACAGCTCTGGCCAAGCCTGGTTCCTCATCTGCTAAGTGAGGAGGACTAATCGGTCAAAGTAACAACAGTAGCAATGATGATAATAATACTACCGATTCTTGGCCTTTCACTGCGTGCCAGGCATTATGCTAAGCAATTTGTGTTAACTATCAACTTTATCCTTAAAACAATCCTGCAATATAGATACCATATAATCTCCATTTCACAAATGAGGAAACTGAGGATTTGGACACACCCAAGGTCACAGAACTTGTAAGCAGCCCAGCCAGGAGTCAAAGCCAGGTTTGTCTGGCACCAAAGCTCGAGCTCTTTGACCTTAAATTGGCTTGCTGCCTGTTGCCAGAGAAGCCACCTGGGAAGACACCATACAATTGACACATTTCATTCATTCATTCATTCATTCATTCATTCAATTCATCTTTGGTGTGTATGGCTGGAGTGGAATGAGAACCGGAAAAGGTAGTACCAGATGAATTTGGTGAGGAAGGCAGATTATTGAAGGCCTTAGAGGACATGGTAGAGAATTTGTATTTGATTGTAAAGTTTTATGGATCCTAGGTAGTGGAGTGGTATGACCTAAACTAATTATTTTAACACTGTAGACAATGTATCAAGAATTAAGGACTACAGGGCTGGCCTAGTGCTGCAGCGGTTAAGTGCGCATGTTCTGATTCGGCGGCCCGGGGTTCGCCAGTCCGGATCCCGGGTGTGGACAAGGCACCACTTGGCAAGCCATGCTGTGGTAGGCGTCCTACATATAAAGTAGAGGAAGATGGGCACGGATGTTAGCTCAGGGCCAGTCTTCCTCAGTGAAAAGAGAATTGACAGCAGTTAGCTCATGGCTAGTCTTCCTCAAAAGAAAAAAAAAAAGAATTAAGGACTGCAATTAATCTGATACTGTGCTTTAAAACAAACTCAACAATCCCTTTAACAGTCACCTGATCAGAGAGACTTTACTTAACCGCTTATATAAAATAGCATACACCCACCCCTCTGTCACTTCATTTTCTTCAAAGAACTTATCTCCACCTGCTTATTGTGTATTCTCTCTCTCCCCACCCCTAGAATGTAAGCGCCATGAAAGCGGGAACTTCTTGTTCCCTGCTTTATTCACTACCACCTAGAATAGTGCCTGGCACATAGGAGGCAGTCAATAAACATTTGTTGAATGAATAAATAACAAAGGTATGTTATACCTTCCCCAGAACACAGTCTACATTTTTTTTTAAGATTTTATTTTTTTCCTTTTTCTCCCCAAAGCCCTCCGGTACATAGTCGTATATTCTTTGTTGTAGGTCCTTCTAGTTGTGGCACGTGGGACACCGCCTCAGCGTGGCTTGATGAGCAGTGCCATGTCCATGCCCAGGATTCAAACCAATGAAACACTGGGCCGCCTGCAGCGGAGTGCGTGAACCTAACCACTCGGCCACGGGGCCGGCCCCTACAGTCTACATTTGACGTCTATGCTTGTTCATCTTCTCAATCCAATATGAATGTTGGCTTCTATTCTCACCACTCTACTGAAAACAACTTTTCTAAGGTCAGCAGTAAAACCCCAATTGCAACACCTGAAGGTGTTTTTATCGTGGCACACTTCTCTGCTCTATCTGACATTGGTGATTTCTCCTCTCCGGGAAACTCCATTCTGTTGGCTTCCATGACATTTCCCTCTCCTGATTCTGTTCCTTTTCCACCACTTCTCTCCCCTTCATGCTACATTTCCTCTGGGTTTAGTCCTGGGCCTGTTACTTTTATGATACACTTTGGGTGTTCTCATCCACTCTCACGGTTTCTACCACCACCTATATGCTTGTAATTCCCAAATCTATAGGGTTAGTCTCAAACTTCAGATTGCCTGGATAGAGTTCAGAATCTGTCTGGATGGACATTTCCACCTGGATGCCCCCCATGGCTCTAGGACTCTAGCAGGTTCAAGATGGAACTTGCCATCTTCTCCTTAAATCTACTCTCCTCTGGTGGGCAAGGAGCTGTTGAGACAGAGATGATTAAGCACACTGCTGCCTCCTGGGACCTGCATCTATTCCTCCATGGGGGAGGGCAAAGATCTATTCTTAGGCTGGGAAGATTTGCAGCAAAACACAGTCACCAAAATGGCTGCCTCCATTGCTCCTCTATTAGGGGGCTCACACCATCAGCCTCAAGGACTGTCTGTACACAATGGCTCTGCTCTGAACCCTCACCCTGGCTTTTTCTTGGGCATCTCAAATACAAGACGTGCAAAATTTACCTCATCATCTTCCCCCCTAAATCACTGTTTACCACGTCTATAGCTGGCACCATCATCTATCCCCAAGCCTTCCAGGCTAGAAACCTGAAAACCTTGACTTCTCTTTTCTCTCCTACCACATCAAACTAATCCTAGTGATTTTCATTCCCAAACATTTCTTGATTCTATCCTCTCCTCTAAATTCCTACTGCCACAAAGCTTCTTGGGCCCTCACACCTTGAGGTTGACTCTCTCAAACTGTCTGACCGCACACGCCTCTAACAATGGCTTAGGCCCTTTTTATTTGTGGGAGGGGAACGTTTTAGGCAGAGCATAGTGGGCAAGAGGATCTAATAAGAGTTTTGTTTTCACTGAGTTTCTTTTTACAATTAGCTTCTTTCTATGTCGAGTGACTTTTTTTCATTTTGACATAAAGTTTCCTTTTAAAATAAATTAAGTAAAAAAAGGGAGCCTCTTTCAATAAAAATTAAGTGGATACTTAGTAGCTAGGAACTCATGGAAGGTAAAAATCATGAAGGTGGCTGAGGAATGTCAGAAGTTTGGGAAACACTAAGATATAAGATCTTCAGTGTGACATATTAGCTTGAACCATATGAAATTGATGATATCTGACTACTTTTGTTTGGACCTACAAAAATGACAATTTCATATGGTTGAACCTATTAGAAAGTCCTACATTTTCTGGCCCTCACCTGTGTTCCTGCAAAATCAACTGCTTGCTTTTGTCCTGCTCGCACCACATTATTTCTCTCCTCTGTGCCCTTTGCCAGTCCCTCCGCCTGGATACCACACATTCTTAGCACACAGGTGTCACCGCCTTCAGGAACCTTTCCTGTCCTCTGTCCCTCAAAGCCAGTAAGGCACTCCCCTCAGAGCTTCCATGGTACAGTCAACACATCTGTCTGCATTCTTGGGTCTGTCTCTCCTGCTAGCCTAGAACTCCTTTAGGCAAGGACTCTTTTTTTTGTGAATCCCAGTCGCCTCAGCCTGGCCCCCAGCAGCCCCTCCGTTGAGCTGTGGCTAACCAAGTGAGTGAGCGAATGAGTATCTGCAAAGAAGAGAGGCCTAATGCTGCCTGGAGGGCCAGAGGGGGCTTCAGAGAGGGGTCATTTGACCTCCATCTTGAAGGATGAGAAGGAAGGAATTTGCCAGGTGAGAAGTAAGTGGAAGGACCCCAGGTGAAGCAACCATAGGTGTGAAGGGACTGGAGTCCAATAGAGTCTGCAGTATTGGGGGAAATGAAGTATGGTTTGAGTGGAGGGCATATGAAGGAGAGCCAAGGGAAAAGGCAATGCTCACAGTGTATTTCCCCCTCGCCCCAATCTTGGTCAAGGAGCCCCGAAATTGATAAGCACATCTGCCAATACTTCCAGTGGGTTTTGACTAAAGGGGTTGTGAGGCTGGCATTTTCTTCTACCTTGAAGACAAAAAGCAGGTAATCTGAGCACAGATGCAAAACCAGCCATAGAGAACCACCATGTTCAAACCAGCATGACCTCCAGCCATACAGAACCACCTCATTCAAAGCAGCGTGACCACCCCGCAGCCCTCAAGGAACTTACTCTCTAGAGAAATTGCTGTGTAACCAAGAATCAGTGAAAGCGCCGCGACAAAGACCAGGCTTGATCAGCAAATCCCTCGGAAGACCGCTCCTGGGAGCAGAGATGCCTAAGAGAAGAAGACAGCAGATTGATTCTGTGCAAATATGGTGTTAGGTCCCTCCTCACCAGATAAGAGGCCCCTCCGACCTAGGATGAAGGCAGGCTGGTGATAGTAACAACGACAAAAATCAAATGGGAGACTTAGTATGCTTAGCAGAAGCGGGTGCTTTAAACGTTTCCTCATTTAAAGGATAGCCTTGATGAGGTGAATATTATTGTCCCTATTTTACAGAAAAAGAAACTGAGGCTTGTTGAGGTAACGGGAACCACTAGGACTGGCCCCCAGGTCTCTGGCTGTGAAAACAACGCTCTTCCCACTTCACCAGGAAAGAGGCTTCACTTTGTGACTGACCAGTGAAGGAGGCAGGACCCTCTATGTCATGGGGAAAAGCGCACATTCAATCCCAGGTATGAATATGATATGCACCAGCTACCAAGGGGGCCTCACATCTCAGGCTTATCCTCCTCAGCCTCATTGTCAGGATAATTTCTATGCAGTTGCTTATCCCAGTTTCAATCTTGCACTCTCTCAAGCTCCAAAACCCCTTTCAAAAGACACTTCCCTAATCACCTAAAAGAATCACTGTTCCTGTAAGAGCAGCCAGTTCCTCTTTCTACTTCCTGGTTTGAATGGGGCAAGACACAAACAAATCTCTCTCAGTCTGTTTTCTCATCAAAGTGGGGGAGTTGTGCTTGTTGAATAAGTTGATAGCCAAATCAGAAATACTTGTGCCGAGAACTGCAAAATAAAGAAAGAAATATACTCTTGAAACAGGACTCGATTCATTCAAATATTTATTGAGCCCCTACTCTGTGGCAGGCACTGTGTTTGGTGCTGGGCCTCCTAAGATGTGCAGACAGCCTCCAACCTGAACAAGGAGTCCAGTCTTGTGGGTGTGACGTTATTCAGAAGAAAAATTCCATTAGGGAAGCCCTAAATCCATCAGCAATCAGAGGATGATCCAAAGACTTGAAACAAAAATTCTACTGAGGAAGAGGAAACTTCTACAGATACATAAAAAGATGTTCAATCTCAGTAATCAGGGAAATGCAAATAAAAACCACAATGGAATACCATTTCAAACCCACCAGATTGAATTATACCTGGTAGGAACACTGAACCAGCAGACCTGAGGTTGCAGAACAATAAACACGACCAGGCAAGGAGTATAGGTACAGCAGGCACCTAGTAAATATTTTGCTAACCCAAGCAGAGAAAAACTAGAGCAGAGATAGCAAAGTGGCAGCTCATGGGCTAAACATGGCCTGCTGCCACATTTTGTTTGCCCTCACAGTGTTTACAAAATTGAACTAATTGCCAAGAGTTAAAAATTAGGAGATTTCACAACTTCTCTTGAAAAACAGTAAGATTGCAGCTCTTGGCCCAGCCTCTACCAGCCAAGGTGTGGCTGGAGCTGAGAAGTAGCTGACCTCTGCCTCTTACCACATCCACACCACTCTCCCGGCCGGCCTCTGGCACTGGGGCTGCTGCAGCCGACTTCCATGATCTCTAGTCCTGGAAGCACTCAAGTGTGCCCCGCCTCAGCTGGAGACTTAATGGCATCCACTCTCAGGGATAAAGTCCAGAGACTGGTATTACCAACTCTGCAATGGGGCCAGGAACTACAGCCAGGGACCCTTTCTCCAGCAAGATATTCACACGCTATTTCCCCAAATCCCTACTACCCTGCAGGAAACTGAGGCTCAGGGAAGTTAAGAAATTTGCCCAATGAGTGACGAAGCCGGAACGCAAACTCAGGAATCTCTGATTTAGTCACACTGATTAAGCATATTCACAGGCTTAAGCACTGTTGAGCGTTATACATGCACTAAATAATTTAATTCCCACTTCAACCCTATGAGATAGGAACAATTATTTTACTCGATTTTACTTGTGAGAAAATGAGGGCACAGCAGGCTAATGACTTGTCAAAGGTCACACAGCTAGTAAGAGGCAGGACTGGGATCTGAAGCAGCAGTCTCACCGCAGAGCCTGAGTCTCAGTGCAACCCTGACAGGCCTCTGGAGTCCCCACCTCCGCCAATTCACTCCTCGCGTCCCGGCTGTGCACACTTCAGTGCCTGCCTCGCAAGACATAAGCACTTTGTGTCTGCCTCTAATACCAAACTGGGCTCCCACATACCATCCTGCAACGTGTTTTCCCCCCACTTAACAATATGCTGTGGAGCACTTTCCATGTCAGTGTGGTACTCCATTTCCATAGACATTCTGTAATTTATTTATCTCCTTATAAACATTTAGAGCTCCAGCTTTTCCTTGTTTTATTAAAAAATTGATGCTCCAAACATCCTCGTCCACCTAAATCTGTGCATTTGAACACTTGTTTTCCATAGGATAATTCTAAGTAGAATTATGGGGTCAAGGTCACACATACGAGATTTTGATAGATATTGTCAAATTGCCCTCTGAAACGCCTCTACGACACTTTGTGAGTGCCTGTTTCCATGCCCTTGCCTCCACTGGGTATATTTTTCTATTGCTTTCTCTGCACCACACTCAAACTGTCTCCCTTAAGCTGCCTCATTATTTTCATAGTCAGTTCAGTTTCACCAGTATGATTACAACTATAAAAGGAACAAAACAAAATAATTTATGTCTTGTGAAAAAGGGGAGGGGGGCAGGAAACACCCCAGAATGATGGCAGTGGCCAGACTTATGTGGAATAAGGTATGAGGTAAGTGATTTTTTTTTTAGTATTTTCCAAATGTTCTTAAATGAGTGTTTCTTTGATAACAGTAGGGGAAACGTTCTCCCTGCTGCCCCCTATTCCTGTAGCCCCCTTTTATTTTTTTAAAGAAAACAGGCCCAGAGAGTGTCTTTGGGGCAGCACAGAGGAGAGGAGCTAAAGAGCCGTGTTCGCTGTCGGCAGCCAGATTTTGCGGGAGAAGTGCCCAGCCCCACAAGTGGACAGTGAAGGCGGTAAAGAAGAAAAGAAGCAGCTGGAACTACGCAGGGCCTGAGGCAAGGTGAAGATGAGGGAAAGGCTGGGGATTACCAGTCAGAAGGCCAGTGAGAGAGCAGACAGCTGTTGGTGGAGGCCTGTTAGGTTTAAGGCAGCAAATCTTCCCTAACCCTGTCTCTGCCCGTACATCCACTTCCAGGAAACAGCACCATTATTCACCTTAGTTGCCCAAGCCCGAAGCCAGGGGGCGATCCTAGGTTCTTACCCATCTATGCCCAGTCAGTGAATCCTGTTGATTGTATCTTTCTAACCTCTTTCAAAATCCACTTGCTTCATGCATCTCCTTTCTTGGGGCTTTCATTCTCTCCCACCTGGATCACTAAAACAACATCTCAACAACCACCACCTCTGCAGCCAGCCCCATTCCTTTCCCGCAGAGCTGTCAATTCAGGCGTTCCTAACATGTTAATCTGATTTCGGGTAAAACCCTTCCAAGGTCTCCTGTGGCCTGAAGCCCTGATTCTCCCCCTGGAGGCACCTTAGAATCACCCAGGGAGTTTTCAAGACCATCTGGACTCACCAAGTCCTCATATCCTGAGAATCAGATGAAACTGGTTTGGCATAGGGCACAGATTTTTAGTTTTTAAAGCCGCCCAAGGTGATTCTAATGTGCAGCCAGGGTTGAGAACCGCTGGCCTCCAGGATGTAAAGTGCAGGTTCCTCTGTGTGGTGTGCAGGAACTCCACGTCATTCCATTTCTCAGCAAATATTTACTGAGCGCCTGCTGTGTACCAGACACCTCACTGGCCCCGAGTCTAAGCGAAGAACAACATTAAGGCCCCTCATGAAGCCGCTTGTCCATCTGGCTCCTAGTATTTAAGCCTCGTTTCTGCCTCCTCACACCTCCTGTCTTTGATCTAGTCATCAAGACCAATTTGGGATTCCCCAAACGTGCCCTGCTGTAGGCTCAGGGCCTATGACTATGCCACTCTTTCAACCCCAAATTCCAGCCCTCAGCCTCCTGGTCTAGTTAAGACTCAGCCTGAGGACCACTTCCTCTGAAAAGGCTCTGCCTGACCCCACCCCCAGATCTGCCCTGATTATCCTCGTACTCGTCACTGTGGTCACTGTCCATTTCACGGTCGGGCGCCCTCGGGAGACTGCGAGCTCCTTGAGGGGAGGGACAGTGAGTGAACCGTCTCCGTATCCCTGATGGGGGTGCTGACTGCCTGGGGAATCCGCATGGGAGTGAACTCGAATGACCCACATATTCACATAGGGCAAACTTGGTGTGAATAAGGTACGAACAGACTGGAAACTAGTTAGAGGAGGACTGCAGCTCCAGAAGCTTCAAGAAGCCAGGCTCTGGACAGGAGGTTCAAAGACAGACAGCCCTATCACCAGCAGGGAGGCAGAGAGAGACACACAGTATCAGAACTGAGTAAGACAGTAGGGGCAGCCTGTTGCCTTTGAAGAGGTGGCCTTGTGTGGTGGAAATAACATGATCTGCGGTCTAATTTGTATGTTCCAATTTGGACACTTGCTTGTTATGTGACGTTGGGTTAGGCCTACCCCTAATATTTGCAGGGCCAGTGGTACGGGTACAAATGGAGGCCCATACACCATATGTCTAAATATCTAAAAGTTATCAGTTAAACTAACAAACCATTAAAACAGTTCCTATGCTATTCTCCTACCTTGATAAATATACCTTCATGATGACTGGAAGGCTGGGATGAATTTAGAATTCCCAGAGTTCTTGGGAATATGGTGGCATAAGGAAAAGTGGCCCCTGACCTGCCCGCTTCTCTTCCCACCTGTGGTAGGCAGAATGATGCCCCCTTTGCCCAAGATGTCTACAGCCTAATGCCTGCAGCCTGTGAGTGTGCTGCTTTAGTGGCGAGGGGGAATTAAGACTGCTCATCCCCTGACCTTGAGATAGGGAGATTGTCCTGGATTATTGGGGTGGGCCCAATGTAATCACAAGGGTCCTTCCTTACAAGTGAAAGAGGGAGGCAGAAGAATCAGAGTCAGAGAAGACATGAGGATGGAAGCAGAGGTTGGAGTGATATGATTACTGGCTTCAAAGAGGGAGGAAGGGGGCCCCGGGCCAAGGCACAAGGGTGGCCTCTAGAAGCTGGAAAAGGCAAGTATGTGGATTCCCCTGGAGCCTCCAGAAAGGAGGGCAGCCCCGCCACCACCCAGATTACAGCCACTGAGACCCATTTCAGACTTCCTGCCTCCAGACGTGGCAGAGAATGTTTGTTAAAAGGTTTGCAGCCACAAGAGAAGACTGTGCTGGGCTTTGCCCTGCGGCACAAGGGCCTCAGGCTCCCCGGGGAGGACACACCAGTCACAGCTCCAAAGGTGCACTCCCACGTCCAGCTGCCCCTGTGCCACCCTGTGGGCCTAGGGGTCCATATACCAGTGTTCTCAGGAGGAGGGACCCACAGAAGAGGCTCTGGGAGAGAGCTGGGGTCACTTAAGCAAGGAAATGTGGGGTTTGGGCACTTACGGTCTGGGTTGGAAGGGGGTCCGGGCTCTGGGTTGGCACAATTCCTGGGCCACGTGGCCTTCTCATCCCGTAGGGGGGGAGCACAGCTCGTAGAGGAGGTCCAGGGAAGGACCCTTTAAAGCACAGAGCTCAGATCCCATATGTGGCACTATCTTGGGTCAAATGGCTTCACCAGCCTGAGCCTCGTCTGTAAACTCAACCCTCTGGATCATCATCGAGCACCTCGTCTGTGCCAAGTGTTATGCTTAACGACAGCTGAATGGTAGGTGAAGCAGCTAACTAGTTCAGAGTAATCTCTCAATAAATTTTTATGTCCTTCTCTTTCTACTTAGTCTCAACTAAGTCAGTGGGCTTGCAAATTAGAAATAAAAATCGCTTGCTCAAACCCTTTGGTGGATTCCATTCACTCCTGGGAGGAGCCTAAAATCCTTTGCAAGGCCCTGCAAGCCCAGCGTCCCCTCCCCACTCTGCCTCCTCCTCTCTGCTCTGCACACAAACCTTGCGATGCCTCCGCTGCACCAGGGCCTGTATTGCTCCTGGCCTCCCTTGCTGTTCCTTCCTTCCACGTGCAAAGTTCTGTCCTCCACACATACCCACCCCACTGTCACCAAGCTGACTCATTCAGGGTTTGCTTTAAATGCCATTCTCTTGAGGAAGCCTGTCCCGGTTCCCTAACCTACTACCCAGAGCAGGTTCACCTGTTCTCTTCTCTCCCAGCTCCCGGGAGCACTTCTGTAGTACTTACCATGAAAGCTGCCATGTGCCTATTTATATTACCTTTTGTTGGTTAAATGTAAGATGAATCTATTTTCATTTCATTTTCTTCAAGACAGAGCCCCAAATGTGTTACTTTTTTTCACTGTGGTAAAATATACATAACATAAAATTTACCATTTTAACTATTTTTAAAGACTTTATTTTTCCTTTTTCTCCCCAAAGCCCCCCAGTACATAGTTGTGTGTTCTAGCATGGGTCCTTCTAGTTGTGGCATGTGGGATGCCGCCTCTGCATGGCCTGATGAGTGGTGACATGTCCACACCCAGGATCTGAACCGGCAAAACCCTGGGCCGCCAAAGCAGAGTGTGTGAACTTAACCACTCGGCCATGGGGCCAGCCCTGCATTTTAACTATTTTTAGGTACAGTTGAGTGGCATTAAGTACACTCATTGTCATGCAACCAGCATCACTATTCATCTCCAGAACTTTTTCATCATCCCAACTGAAACTCAACACCAGCAAACAGTAACCCCCCATGCTCCCCTCCCCCAGCTCCTGGTAACCACTGTCCTGCTGTCTGTCTCTATGAATTTGACTACTACAGGTACCTCACGTAAGTGGAATCATACAATATTTGTCCTTTCATGTCTGGCTTATTTAACTTGGCATAATGTCCTCGAGGTTCTCCATGTTGTAGCAGGTGTCAAAATTCCACTCCTTTTTAAGGCCAAATAGCATCCCATGGATGACCACACTTGGTTTATCCACGCGTCCATCTATGGACACCTGCGTTGCTTCCACCTTTTGGCTCTTGTGAATAACGTTGCTGTGAACATTGGTGTACAGATACCTGCTCCCCTTCTTTCAATTCTTTTGTGTGTATACCCAGAAGCGGAATTGCTGGGTCAAATGGTACTTGCATGTTTAATATATCCTGCTTTTGTCCATTCTTTTACACTCTCCCTGTCCCCTTCCTCCACTGCAGCCTTTAGTGCCATGAGGAAGGAACCACGGTCTGTCTTCCTTCTGGGACCAGCACAGGCTGGTGCTTCAATCAATGTTTGTTAAATGATTGGACAAATGGCACTTTAGCCGACTTGGGTGAAGGGTGGAGCCTGAAGCGGATGTAAACAGAGGGCAGGGGCAGCAGTTCCCGACAGGGGTTTCCACTCCCAGAGGTCCCAAGGAGGGTGCCCATACGTTTTTCTTGTTTTCCCCACTTTTTTAGGTTTTCATGCCTTTTCGTGGGGCTCACCCTCCCCATGGTCTTCAACTTGAAGCTTTTAGGTAGAATCATATAAAACTGAGCCCAAGTACCTATGCTTCGCTTTTCCTCTTGAGGCAACAGACACAAGGTGAAAGCTGCTTTGAGCCAGAAGGAACAGGGTTAGAATTCAAGCTCCCCCACTTCCTGGTGGTGGCTCTGAGCCTCTCCTCATCCGTAAAATGGGAATATTATATAATGCACAGAGCAACTGTAAAGATTCTCTCAATACGGAAAGGGCCTGGAACAAAGCAGATGCTGTCAGTAGAATGTCAGTTCCCCCCTGTCTCCCCCCTAATTGTCCCCCGCCATACCATGTGTGCTCAGATGAGAGGCATGATAATCTGTTTTTGAAAGCCTTTGTGGTTTTGATCACCATGGGGGCAATTTCTAAAACAAAGACCAAAGGAACATATTCTAGAGCACAGAGGAACTCGTTATACTGCACACATTCTCTCCACAGAGGCTCAGTCCACAATCAGAGCTGAGTCCTTACTGCTCCCAGATCAGAAGGGTCAGGCACACTGACAAACACTGACCCCGTCTGAAATGGTGATAATGGGACCCT